ATGGGATACAAAGCAGTGCTAAGAGGAAAAGTTCACGACACTAAGAGCCTACATAAAGAAATTGGTAATCTCAGACTAGCAACTTAACAGCATACCTGAAAGCTCTAGAACAAAAGTAAATAAGCATGAGAGAAGTAGTTGATAGGAAATAATCAAGCTGAGGGCTGAAATCAATAAAACAGAAACTGAACAATACAAAAAATCAATGAAACAAAGCATCCATTGGTTCTTTGAGAAAATCATGATAGACAAATTCTTATCAAAATTAACTAAAAGACACAGAGAGACTATCCAAATTAATAAAATCAGAAACAAAAGGGTGAACATAACAATAGACACCAAGGAAATCCAAAGACTCATTAGGTAATACTTTAAAATCATTTACTCCACAAAAAGTAGAAAATCTAAAAGAAGTGAACAATTTTATTGATAGCTACCATTTACCAAAGTTAAATCGAGATCATATAAACTATTTAAATAGGTATATATCCCCTAAGGAAATAGAAGAAATCATTAAAAGTCTCTCAACCAAAGAAACAAAAACAAAAGAAAATTAAAAACCAAAAAAACCCTAAAGGCCAGACAGTTTAGCACAGAATTCTACCAGACTTTCAAAGAAGAGCTACTGCCAATACTTCTCAAATTATTCTACCAAATAGAAACAGAAGGAACATTGCCAAATTCATTTTATGAGGACATAGTTATCCTGATACCTAAACCACAAAATGATTCAATAAATAAAGAGAATTTGAGATGAATTTCTCTTATAAACACTGATGTAAAAACACGCAATAAGATACTAACTGAATCCTAGAACACATCAAAAAGATTATTCACTATGATCAAGTAGGTTTCATCTTGGAGATGTAGGGATGGTTCAACATATAAAAATTTGTCAATGTAATACACTATATAAGCAAACTGAAAGAAAAAAAATCACATGATTATCTCATTAGATGCTGAAAAAGCCTTTGACAAACTCTAACACCTGTTCATGATAAAAGTTTTGGAGAGATCAGGAGTACAAGGGACATATCTAAATATAATAATAAAGGCAATTTACAGAAATCCTATAGCCAACATCAAATTAAACACAGAGAAACTCAAAGAATTCCACTAAAATTAGGAACAAGACAAAGTTGTCCACTCTCTCCATACAGTACTCTCTTCAATACAGTACCTGAAGTTCTAGCTAGAGCAATAAGACAACTAAAGGAGATAGGGGGGATGCAAATTGGAAAGGAAGGAATCAAAGCATTACTATTTGAAGAGATATCAGAGTATACATAAGAGACCCCAAAAGTCTACCAGGGAACTCATGTAGTTGATAAACACCTTCAGTGAAGAGGCTGCAGACAAGATTAACAACAACAACAACAACAAAAAATCAATAGCCCTATTATACAAAAGACAGAAATCAGGGAAACAACATCCCTCACAATAGACAAAAATAATATAAAATATCTTGAGGTAACTTTAGCCAAGCAAGTGAAAGTCTTGTAAGACAACAATTATAAGTATTTGAAGAAAGAAATTGTAAACTATATTAGAAGATGGAAAGATCGCCTATGCTCATGGATCGTTAGGATAACAGTAAAAATGGCCATCCTACCAAAAAGCAATGGACAGTTTCAGTGCAATTCCCATTAAAATTCCAACACATTTTTTACACAACTTGAAAGGACAGTAGTCAACTTCATATGGAAAACCAAAAAGCCCAGAATAGTTAAAACAATCCTGTACAATAAAAGAACTTCCAGAGGTATTACCGTCCCTGATTTTAAGCTATGTAACAAAACCTAGATGGTTTTGGCATAAAAGCAGATGTGGAGCAAGGGAAGACTTCTTCATCGCTGGTGGTAGTGTAGATTTGTACAGCCACTTGGAAATCAATATGGTGGTTTCTTGGAAAACTGGGAATCAATCTACCTCAAGATCCAGGTATATCATTCCTGGGTTTATACCAAAAGGATGCTCCATCCTACCACAAGGACACTTGCTCAATTAAATTTATAGCAGTTTATGATATTTATAATATAAATTATATAAATTATAATTTATGATATCAAGAAACTGGAAACAACCTAGATGTCTCTCAACCGAAAAAAAAAATGGATAAAGAAATGTGGTACACTTATGCAATGGACTATTACTCAGCTGTCAAAAACATTATCATGAAATTTGTAGGCACATAGAACTAGAAAAAAAAATCATCCTGAGTGAGATAACCCAGATGCAGAAAGACAAACATGATATGTACTTATTAGTGGCTATTAGATATAAAAGATAACCATGCTACAATCCACAGACCCAGACAGGCTAAGTAACAAGGAGGGCTCAAGGAGGTACACAAAGATCTTCCTGGGAAGGAGAGATAGAATAGATTTTGTGGTTTGCCTGGGAACAAGTAGGGGTGGGAACAGGAGGAGTCATATTGGGGGAGGGGCATAGGGAATAGCAAGAGAGATGACTGGAATTGGTGGGCATGTTGGGGATGAAGTATGAAATCTTGTACCAGGGAAAGTCCCTGGGATCTAGAAGGGTGACCCTAGGACAGACTCCTAGTAATGTGGTTACTGAAGCCACTTTCTGTCACCAGGCAAGGCTTCCAGTGGAGAAATTGGGACACAAATCCAACCCGAAAACCTCTGACTGACAATTTGTCCTGCCTGCAAGTTGTGCTAGGTGGCACAGAACTTGTGGGAATGGGTAACCAATGAGTGGTTCAATTGAAGTCCCATGCCACTGGCAGGAACCCACCCATGACACTGCTTGGAGGGCCAGAAACCAGAAGCTAGATAGCCCAAAGAGACCTAGAATAGAACCAAACACCACAGGCAAAAAAAAAAAAAAAAAAAAAAAAAAAAGTCAGTGAAATGATTACTAATTATATTTTGCTCACAGACTGAATTATATATTTGACTCACAGACTGGAGTCTAGCATAATTGTCACCAGAGAGGCTTCATGCAGCGAAAGGAGCAAATTCAGAGACCCACAGGCAAACATTAAATGGAGCTCGGGAATCCCCTGGAAAGGGAGAGGAAGGATTGTAAGAGCCAGAAGGATTCAAGAACACCACCAGAACACAGCCTACAGAACCAACTAAGCAGGGCTCACAGAGACTGAACTGACGACCAGGGAGTCTGTATAGGTCTGACCTAGGTCCTCTGCATACATGTTATAGTTGTGTAGTTTGGTCTTCTTGTGGGATTCCTAACAGTGGGAGCATGGGCTGACTCTGACTCTTGCCTGCTTTTGGGACCCTTTTCCTCCTACTGGGTTGCTTTGTTGAGACTTAATATGGGGCTAGTATGTGCCTAGTCTAATTGTAATTTGTTATGCTGAGCTTGGTTGATATTCCTGTGAGGTCTGCTCTTTTCTAAAGGGAAATAGGAAGAGTGGATTTGGTGGAGAGGAGAAGTTGGGGGGGGTGTCTGGGAGGAGAGGCAGGAGGGGACACTGCAATTGAGATTTAATATATGAGCGAATAATAAATAGTACGAAATGCCTATGATATAATATACTGTTTGAAAGGTGTGTACAACACCTATGCAGATACCACACTATTTAAGTCACGTTGTCTGGTCATCTATATCTTCAGTGATAAAAATACCAAATTTTGTGTGTTGAACTTGTATTTGGCCACCGTCTCAAATTTTCTACTTAGTCTTTTAGTTTTTCAGAGGAAATGATCAACTAACCTAGGACTATGACTAGTGTTTGTCCTCCTCTGTCTGCACAAGCCTGAAACTCACTTTGTATACTGGGCTGGCCTTGAACTGTTGTGATGCAGGAGGAATATTGACCGACATCTGTTTTTCTCAGGCAGAGTTCCCTAGCTTGATTTCTTACTGAGGAACAACAATCCAAAGTCTGTCTCCTACTTTTCTTTTTTTTTTTTTTGGTTTTTTCGAGACAGGGTTTCTCTGTGTGTAGCCCTGGCTGTCCTGGAACTCACTCTGTAGACCAGGCTAGCCTCGAACTCTCGAACTCAGAGATCCTCCTGCCTCTGCCTCCCAAGTGCTGGGATTAAAGGCGTGCGCCACCACCGCCGGCTGTCTCCTACTTTTCAATCTAAGAGATGGTCTACAGCTGTCTCTTGTCAGTGGCGGATAGTACTCCGCATGTTAAAGGTCCTAGGTTGTCCAGCACTGTACAGAAAAAAATCCATCTATACTCTTAAACAACTCCCCCAAACTTCCCTGTATGCTCAGCTCAATTTGGGAAAGTCGTATGTTTCTTCTGTCAGTGTACTATCTGAGCTCAGAGTGTGCATCCTCTTGTCTCCCCAGGAAAGCCACATGCCACCAACATCCTGAGAGATGACTGTTGTGTTTCGTTCAGTGAGAAACAGCTCTTGTGGTTTTCTGACTGACTAGTTTTTCAGTGGCTGGAGTTTCCCCCTACTTTTAGTTTGACCATGTTTTCATCATTAGTTTTTGAGGGATTTTTGTTCAAGTTTTCCTATTTTGCTGTTGTTGTTATTTGTTTCAAATGAGATGTCTGCAAATCATGGCCTGGGGGCTGAACATGTCAGTCTCTGTGTGCTTAACTGTGCTTATTTATTTATTTATTTATTTATTTATTTATTTATTTATTTATTTGTTACTGTGGTCCAGGAGTGGCTTCTGCTTTTTAAAAATAGCAGGGGAAAATAAAAGGATAAAAGGAATGACAACATTTTCTGACATGTATACATTAAATAAGATTCAATTTTCAGTGTTTATTATTAGGGTTTTTTTTAAAAACAAAAACATTTTCATTTGCTTACGTGTTTGTCTTGTTTTGTGCCTTGGTGGCAGAATGGGACAGTGGTGACAGAGGTAATATATAGTCCTCCAAACCTAGAATACTTACTTTCTGTTCTTTTGCAGAAAACATTTTTTTTTTTTTTTTGGTTTTTTTCGAGACAGGGTTTCTCTGTGTAGCCCTGGCTGTCCTGGAACTCACGCTGTAGACCAGGCTAGCCTCGAACTCTCGAACTCAGAAATCCGCCTGCCTCTGCCTCCCAAGTGCTGGGATTAAAGGCGTGCGCCACCACCGCCCGGCTCAGAAAACATTTTTTAATAAAAAAAATTTAATAAAAAATAATGACAATGACATGCTGTTCTCTTTGACACTTCCTATCATTCGGTTTAGCCAAGAGTAACAGAAATCATGATTCAAGCTTGTCTAACAAATAAAGGTGTTTTTCAACACAGAGGTAAACAGTATATTCTAAGATTGTCCTTCGCACCTAGTGTTCCTGGCTTTATTCCCTCTCTGTAGTTACTGTTTTTAGATACATTTCCTGTCACGATCATGACTATTATTTTTAATCAAGGACTATTCTCATGTAGCCAAGGCTCTTCTTGACCTGACTATATAACAAAGATTACCTTAACTTCTGATCTTCCTGAGTCTTGGAATTACAAGCGTGTGCCACTATGCCCTGCTTATGTGGTGCTGAAAGTTGAACCCCAGGCTTCATGCATGCTGAGCAAACACCCTCTCAGCTTAGTCGCCTGCATCTCTATTCCAAGACAGGTTCTTTTAAATTTGATTTTTTTAAAAAAAAAATCCTAAATTGAATAAAGCTTCATTGATGAATCACGTGGTATGGCTGGGCAACATTGGCTCCTACTGATGTATTTTTAGCAAATGTAGTTTAAAAACACATCAATCTGATTTCCAATCACTTCATTAGGTGGATGGAGAATATTGCTACCACATGCAATGGTCATGTCCCAGGCATCAATGGTACCCACATGAAGGTCTTTGAAAATCTCCTTTGTGGTTAGATACTGAATATGACCATGGAAGTCTCCGAATTTCTCTGTATCTAGGTTCATCTCCCTAACATTTTCTGTCTTAATGATGACTTTAGTGTCAGGACTTCTGAGGAAGAGCCGCTCAATAGCCTTTTGGATATTGATGGCTCTATGAATGAAAAGTTCCATGGGGAAGGGTCTGAAGTGTTGACCCAAGGTAATGACTATGACAGTATCTTTGTCACCCGGTAAGCGGTCAATTTCCTGAGGAATATAGCCATCATCTATCACAGAGTAGAGCTGGACAGTGATGAAAGGGTGGCTGTGTTTCTTCCATTGAACCAGTGTGTGCCTTTCAGCATCCAAAAGCAGATGTTTCTTATATAATCCAGTTCCATGAAGGTCAAAAGGTTTCAATGCTGTAAAGAAAACAGAAAAGATCTTTAACTGGAAGTTAATGATGGATAAATGTTAAAAGGAAGAACAATATTTATGAAGAGATTAAAATATAACCACAAAGACTCAAAACCAGCCGGGCAGTGGTGGCGCACACCTTTAATCCCAGCACTTGGGAGGCAGAGGCAGGCGGATTTCTGAGTTTGAGGCCAGCCTGGTCTACAGAGTGAGTTCCAGGACAGCCAGGGCTACACAGAGAAACCCTGTCTCAAAAAACCAAAAAGAAAAAAAAAAGACTCAAAACCAGACAGCAAAACAAAAAACAAAGCAGCCTAGGCAAGGAGGGAAACTATATCAAAGCACTGTAGGGCCAGCTTGGGCTTCTGGAAGAGTATAAAGATAACTACTTACTTTTTGCAACATTGGGAAGGTATTCGATCCATTGGCGCAGCGTGGAGTCTCCCAGGAGGTAAATGAGTTTTCCCTTTAAACAGTCATTTATCTGACTTGAGGTTAACTGACGCTGGGTGCACTGGGCTGTTACCCACCTTCTTCGTAAAGTGTAACCGCTAGGTGTGGGAATCTCCATTCCAATCTCACATTTCTTTCTCACGTTTTCACTCTCTGGTAAATGATATTTGTGGAAAATGATTCTACCCAGCTTCCTCTCTTAGTTCTCCCCCCCTTCTCCTGTTACTTTATTTTTGACTACTAGTCATGTTTAGGCTCTCCAACTCTTTTTTTTTTTTTTCAGATAGGGTTCCTGGCTAGCTTTGAATGCAGAGATTTGCCCACTTCAGCTCCTGAATGCTGAGATTAAAGTAGTGTGCCACCTACAGATTCAATGCGATGCCCATCAAAATTTTAACACAATTCTTTACAGATCTTCAAAGAACAACTTCATATGGAAAAACATAAAAACCCAGACTAGCTAAAACAATCTTGTACAATAAAAGAACTTCTGAACGTATCACCATCCCTGACTTATTACAGAGCAATAGTGATAAAAACTACATCGTATTAGTACAGAGACAGACAGGTTGACCAATGGAATTGAATCAAAGACCTAGGAATAAACCCCCACACATACAGACACTTGATTTTTTGACAAAGAAGCCAAAACCATACAATGGAAAAGGGAGAGTATCTTCAACAGATGGTGGTGGTCTAACTAAATGTCTGTATGTAGGAGAATGGAAACAGATACATATTTATCACCCTGCTCAAAAATTAAGTCCAAGTGGATCAAAGACTTCAACTTAAAAGCAGATACACTAAATCTAATATAAGAGAAAATGGAGAATAACCTTGAACTCGTTGGTACAGGAGACAACTTCCTGAACAGAACACCTATAGCTCAGGCACTAAGATCAACAATTGATAAATGGGTGGGACCTCATGAAACTGAAAGGCTCTGTAAGGTACAGGACACTGTCAATAGGATAAAATGGCAGCCGGAAGAATGGGAAAAGATCTTCACTGTTGGATGTAGGCATCTGAAAGAGGGTTAATATCCAAAATATATAAGAACCCAAGTTAGACACAAACAACCCAAATAACCCAATTAAAAATGGGGTACGAAACTAGACAGAATTCTCAACAGAGGAATCTCTAATGGCCAAGAAGCACTTAAAGAACTGTTCAACATCCTTACTCATTAGGGAAATGCAAATCAAAACAACTCTGAGATTTTACCTTACATCCATCAGAATGGGTAAGATCAATAACTCAAGAGACAGCAGATGCTGGCGGGATCTGGAGCAAGGGGAACGCTCCTCCATTGGTGGTGGGTTGCAAACTTGTACAAGTACCCTGGAAATCAATTTGGTGGTTTCTCAGAAAAACTTAGAGTAGTTCTACCTGAAGGCCCAGCTATACCACTCCTGGGAATATACCCAAAAGATGTTCCACTATACCCACAGGGACTCTTGCTCAACTGTGTTCATAGCAGCTTTATTCATAAAATCTGGAAACTCAGAACAACCCAGATGTCTCTCAGCTGAAGAGTGGATAAAGAAAATAGTAGTAGTGGAATACTACTCAGCTTATTAGAGTAGACAAATGGATGGAACTGGAAAATATCATCCCGAGTATGGTGATCCAGACCCAAAAGGACATGCATGGTATGCACTCACTTATAAGTGGATATTAGACATAAAGTACAGGATAGCTATGCTACAATCCACAGACCCAAAGAAGCCCTCCCAAAAGAGGGCTCAAGGGAGGATGCTTGAATCTTTCTCAGAATGGGAAATAAAATAGACATTGGAGGTAGATGGAGGAGGGAACTAGGTGAGAGAGGGGACGAGGAGGAAAACAGGGCAGAGAGGGATCAGGTGTAGAGAGAGCAGGGGAGAGAATGGAAATCAATGGTGGGCAGAGGGTATCTCTTCTCTAGGACATGCCAGAGACCTGGGATGAGGGGAGGTCCCAAGAGAATCTATGGAGGTGACTTTAGCTGAGGGTCCTAGCAGTGGGGTATATGAAGCCTGAAGTGGACACCTCCTGTAGCCAGGCAGGACTCCCAGTGGAGGGATAAAGACAGCAATCCACCCACAAAACCTTTCACCCAAAATATGTTCTGCCTACAAGCCGTGTAGAGACAAAGATAAAGCAGAGGTGGAAGTAATGGTCGACCAATGACTGCCCAAATGGATACCCATCCCATGGGCAAGAATCAATCCTGGACACTATTAATAATACTCTGTTATGCTTGCAGACAGGATCCTAGCATAATGTCCTCTGTGAGGCTCCACACAGCAGCTGATGGGAACAGATGCAGAGGCCGACAGACAAACATTAGATGGAGGTTGGGGATTTTTGTGGAAGAGTTGGAGGAAGTATTGAGGGACTGGAAGAAGACAGGGACTCTATAATAAGAACAACAGAATCAACTAACCTGGGCCCTTGGGGACTCTCAGAGACTGAACCACCAACCAAAGAGCAAGCATGGGCTGGACCTAGGCCTCCTGCACATATGTAGCAGATGTTGGTCTTTATGTGGGTCCCCCAACAACTGATGTAGGGGCTATCCCTGAATCTGTTGCCTGCCTGTGGATTCTGTTCCCCTAACTGGGTACCATGTCTGGTCTCAGTGGGAGAGAATGCACCTAGTCCTGCAGTAACTTGATGTGCCAGGGTGGGGTGATATGAGGGGGGGCTCCTCCTTCTTAGTGGAGGAGGGAGGGGCTGTGTGCGGGGGGAACTGGGAGAGGGGCTGCAACTGGGATATAAAGTGAATAAGTAAATAAGTTAATGGAAAAAACGTAGTGCACCACCACGCTGGGCTCTCTCTCTCTAATAATAATAATAATAATAATACTGTAAACATTATTTATTTTTGCAAACAAATGGTGAAAAAATACTGTGATATAAGAATTATTTTGCTCCCCTATTCAATCTTTTGAGTGACTCTGGGCCTTCTCAACTCCACTCTGTTTGCTTTCTTCCAAATATGCTCATTAGCCCAAAGTGATATAATGTTATCAAAGGTGCTCAATGCTTAACAGTAAATTTAAACACTTTGGGGTGAAATGCCCAGCTCAACAAGGTCTTAGTAGGACTTTGCTAAAAGTGACAAACTGCATCACACATGGACCAACAGTATTCTGAACTGCTCTCTCAGGCCCCACTGTCGTGACACCTCCGTTACTGTCCATCTTCCTAGACATCCTGGTGGCAGGCACCTGGTGTTTTGTCACGATGTGGTTCGTGTCATGTTTTCTTGCCTCGCTCGTCATGCTGCTATCTACTCCTGAGCCAACAACGGTGCTAGGGCTGGCTCCTAGGGCGTCACGCATGGCGACCAAGTGTTCTAGCACCCAGGTACATTTTTATCTCAGCCTATGGTCCCATCATCATCTCTGTACTAATGCCAATTCTTGGGTTAGATTGGAGTGCCACAGGAAGGGTCAGAGAGCATGGTTTACCTGCAGAAATGATTTCCGCCTCAAGAAATAGTTCCCGAGTGAAGAGGCCTGGGCGAACACGTTGTACAGTGTTGGGGCCCGAGGTTCCTTCATCTTGTTGTTCTGCTCTTTCTAACACGGCTTCCTCCCAGGCCTGATGGGGGTTTTTCCTTTCTCACATTTTAGCTGCAGTTCAGCCAGGGGAAGGAGAAGAAATAGTAGAGGAAGGGAAGTTGCTTTCAAACACAGAGCCTACAATTTTCATGTGTCAATTCTATTCATTCTACTAGACAAAGGTTAGCCACAGAAACGAATAGCTGTGAGACAGCTGACTACAAGCTGGGTTAGAACAACAGTTTCTATTACCAAACAAGGAATAGATATTAGGGACTTTCCAGCTCTCGCTTTTTGCCCTTACACAGTCCTTCCTTTAAAGACCTTACAGTTTCTGGCCATGTCCTTGAAACAGGGCCATTATTACATGGTTGAGCTTATGGTTAGCTCTCTGCAGCATTTAAAAACAGTGTGTATGTGTGTGCATGTGCGTGTGCATGTGTGTGTGCGTTCGTGTGTGTGTGTATGTGTGTGCGCGCGCGCGCACGTGCGCACACACCGGGCAAAGTGGCAACACGGTGCTGGTGGCAGAATTATTAACTACACCTAGAATAAACTCTTAGTAGTTGAGCTGCCAAATGGGATTTGCTTTTATGTCACTAATTATACAGCTATTTTGTTGTGAAACAGAGGGCTTAGCAGCATTGCATCTTGAACAGCTGAATACCGCTAGTGTAGGCACATCAGGCCTGCCATTACTAAATATTCCCTACTTTGATAACGCGCCAAGAAGATAACCTGCACTTTTATCTGGATGATAACCCACTGCCGACAGGGCAGCCCTTCCAGCTTACTATAAAGCACATCGTGTGGAAACCTGGATGACAGAACACCGTTTTCTTACATCAGCCCATTGTCTATCTCACGATTAGCTCATATCTTGAGCAATACATGGCTAGTAAGAAGTGATTCTATTATATTTTTTAATTACTTTAGAGACTGCGGAAGGTGTAATAATGGTTACAATGTATTGTCCCTGAAACTTTCCAGGCCCCAGTTCCTCAAACTTGTGACTATGTGTTTTCTATGGCAAAAGGAATTTTCGAGCTGTAATTGGGTGTATGAGCTTGTGATGAGGTAGATATTCTATATTATATGGGTGGGAGGCCAACCCCATCTCAACAGTGGGAGATGGAGGCAGATGGACAAGAGCATGAATATTTGACGTGGTCATGGTTTCGGGAGTTGGCTACAAGGGTTGTGGGAGCCTCTAGAAGCTGTAGGAGGCACAGGGACATGCTTCCCTTGAGCCAGAAAGACATACAGCCAGCTGGGCTTTGAGTGTGGTCAGTGAGGCTGATGGTAAGCATGTGAAATAGCAAACTAAAACAATACATTCCCCCTCATCTTACGACACTTCATTATCGTGGCAAGAAACTAATGCAGAGAAACGAATATCTTTTCAATGTGAAGTCATTCTATCTGGAAGCAGTGCCCTTTTTTCTATTTACATACACCATGCCCCCTGGCAACATCTCCAAGGATCTTCTAGGTCACACTTAGTTATTTAGTTGTGGATGAAAATTACTCTTTAAAGCACTTTCTTTCTCATTTGGATTGTGGCTTTAAACCTCTACCAAATCCCCAAACCCAAACCCAAACCAAACCAAAAACAAACAAACAAACCATTGAACTCTTCAACGTGATGTTTAAGAATGACAGTGATTTTAGACTTTTGCTATGCTTTTAGCCTCCTCCTTGGCTACCTTCTACGATACGTCTGTCTTACTGGACTATTAAAAATGGTTCACGACATGACAATTTTGCTCATTACTAGAGTTTATCTAACCAAAAGTTATTGATGAAAAACTGCAGGGTAGCACCCTGCATCTCAGTGACTCTGGTGAAGAGTACTTTGGAAGCGGCTGTGTCCCGTGATCCTTCTTCATCTCACGTCACACCTACAGAGGCGACTGGAATTTATTCAAATTTAACTGATCTCACGCATGATTCTTGGTTTTGTCTGGCTACTCTCCCATGCCCTTCATGAGATTTCTGGGTTCCTCCCCCCTCCCCTGCCTCATTATCTCTGACTGCAGATAACTTTCTAGGGTTAGTCAAACACTAACTGGAATGGAAGTTCTGTGTGTGTCATCCTCACACTCAGCTGATTGAATGGTTTTACATCACTAGCTTTCCAAGCCTTTATTTTTCTCCATTTTGCACAATGCTTCATTATCTGACAGGCTCTCAATAAGTATTTATTGAATAAATGAATGCATATTGGCAATAAGTCCTTATGTGTTGCCAAGTGTATCAGTGTGATTGATAAGCTAAAGCAGGCTTCGTGGGAGTAGCTTTTGGAAATAAGGCACTATAAATATTCTTTGTGGTGTAATGTTGCTTTGTGTTTGCCATTGAACACTTAATAAGATGGAAGCACCATATAAATTTAATAAGTGCTACAACTAAGTTAGAGGTTATGCTAAGGGACATTCCAAAACTACATCTACAAGGCCGAAGCCACTGGTATCTATCAATAACATCTGCACAGTAGCTAGGGTACTAAGATATAAATTCCTAGGTGAATTGATATTTTTACCTTTGAATCAAGATGGGGTCTGTTCTCAAGAATATGAAACATTTTTAATTGATTTCTCTCTTTAACATACAGTCTAATTGTTATCAGTGGTATTTATTGGGAATTATAGTCTAGAAAATTGCAATTAATACTGAAAAAACACCGGGCAGTGGTGGCGCACGCCTTTAATCCCAGCACTTGGGAGGCAGAGGCAGGCGGATTTCTGAGTTCAAGAGTTCAAGGCTAGTCTGGTCTACAGAGTGAGTTCCAGGACAGCCAGGGCTACACAGAGAAACCCTGTCTCGAAAAAAAAAAATTACTGAAAAAAACCTTCCAAGAATCAAGAAATACCTACTGCTGGGTTGAGCACACCTTTAGTCCCAGCACTCAGGAGAAAGAAGCAGGTGGATCTCTGTGAGTTTGAGACTAGTCTGGTGTACACAATTAGTCAGAAAAGAAGAAGAGAAGAAAGAAGAAAAAGAAGCAGCCAGTGCAGGGTAAAAGGGACTTACTGTTGCATTGGGAGACAGCAATATTTTTAGGGTGCTTCATCATTTCAACTCCTATGTTGGACCTTCAAAAAGACAAAAGGACAGATTAGCCTGTCATGTGTCATAGAACATAGGCAGCCCCCAATCACCTGCTTGTAAGGGAAGCAAGGGCTCATTTTAAATTTCTGCTAATATGAGTAGAAATTATTATTTCAAAGGTAACTGAGGCATTATAATTGAAGTAAGATTTTGGAGTATTTCCTACCCTACTGAGAGTCTCTGGAGTCCAGGGTATTTGCCACATACAGTCATGATACTCGGTTGTGCTTGCATACAGGAGTCTGGCATGACTGTCCTCTGAGAGGCCCCACCCACCAACAGACTCAGACAGAGGCATATACCCACAGCCAAACAGTAGATGGAGCTTGGGGATTCTTTATGGAAGAATAGGAGGAAGGATTCCAGCTCCTAAGGGGATAGGAACTCCACAGGAAGATCAACAAAATCAACTAACCTGGACCCTTGGGGCTCTCAGAGACTGAACGGCCAACCAAAGAACACACATGGGCTGGACCTAGGCCTCCCCACACATATGAAGCAGATGTGCAGCCTGACCTTTATGTGGGTCCTGAACAACTGGAGTGGGGGCTATCCCAAAAGCTGTTGCCTGTGTGAATGATAGTTCTTCTAGCTGGGCTGCCTTGTCTGGCCTCTGTGGGAGAGGAAGCCCCTAGCCTTGTAGAGACTTGAAGTGTCAGGGTGTGTGTGGGGGCATACCCAAGAGGGTCCTCACTTGCCCAGAGGAGGAGGGGAGGGGATAGGGGAAGGATTGAGGGAGGGAGTGACCAGGAGGGGGCAATGAGCGGGATGTAAAAAGAATAAGTAAAACATAAAAATTTTAAATAATCATAAAATCATAAAAGCAAAAACCCGCTTCCACATCATCTACTCAAAGTCATATAATCTTATCCTTAAATTACGATGATCCTCCTTGTCTCAGTTTAAGGACATTTAAATTCTTCAACAGAAGGACACAGTATCCTCTCTCACTGGAGATGCTCATCTGCTAGTATTTAAAGTCAACCACTCTCCCATCCTTTACTCCAGGAACCTAGACTTCTATGGTAGCACTTGGACTGCTCACCACAGGGCCTCACTTCCCCTTTCAGTCCTGCCTCCTGCTATTTGCTCGCTCTTTCTTTCTTTCTTTCTTTCTTTCTTTCTTTCTTTCTTTCTTTCTTTCTTTCTTTCTTCCTTCCTTCCTTCCTTCCTTCCTTCCTTCTTTCTTTCTTTCTTTCTTTTTTTTTTTTTTTTTTGCTTTCGAGACAGGGTTTCTCTGTGTAGCCCTGGCTGTCCTGGAACTCACTCTGTAGACCAGGCTGGCCTCAAACTCAGAAACCCACCTGCCTCTGCCTCCCAAGTGCTGAGATTAAAGGCATGTGCCACCACCGCCCGGCATCTCCTGCTATTTCACCTTTAATTTTTCTTTATAACCCAGACATATTTTACACAGAGCAAAGTTATCTGAAGAAAGGTAGGCCGTTTGCTGGATCACTCTCTTGCCTCAATACCTAGCTCAACGATTGGTAGAAACCAGAGTTCAGTTTGCTGTGTGAACCAATGCGTGCTGTGGACATATGGGTAGTTAGTGGGTGGGGAAAGGGTTGGTGAGTTTCATAATCAGAAATAAAAGAGAAGCAACAGAAACCTAACTGTGCTTTTACTCCCTCAGAAGGGGCATGGGGGGGACATCACACCAGGAACTAAAACTTGGATGCTAGGCAAGATTCTTCAGTGTGCAATTTTTCCATACATGGTGTTGACTCTTACCAATCCTTTGTGTCTGAAAGCTTAAGGAGAAAAGATTCTAAACTCGACTTTGAAAACTGATAAGAAAGGAGTCGCCGAGGAACTAGCTATCATTTTATTTTGCTGTGAAGTAAAGAAAAATGAAATGTGATGTGTGTGTGTGTGTGTGTGTTTGAGAGTGTGTGCGTGTGATCGTGTGTGTGTGTGCATGTGTATGTATGTGAGCCAGTGTGTGTGTATGTGAGTGTGTGTGTGTGTGAGAGTGTGTATGAGTGTGTGTATGTGAATGTGTGAGTGTGTGTGATTATGTGTGAGTGTGTGTATTTGAGTGTGAATGTGTATGTATGTGAGTCAGTGTCTGTGAGTGTGTGAATGTGAGTGTGTGTGTGTGTGTACTGTGTGGGGAGGATATAGATTTTTGGCTGAATGAAAACATCAAGAAGGCAGTTGAAGTTCATTACCATCAGCTGAAAATTGCAGAGGATCCAGAAGTGACTCCGCAGGAGACTGACTCAACTGTCAGCTCCCCTGCCTCCCCCTACGGTCGACCCCTAGACTTCCACGCCCTCCAGAAGGGTTCCTGGTATGCCTGGCTTTGCCCTCATTTCTCTCGCTAGAGAGCTTGGCCTCTTGATCACCACAACAAAAATTGGCTTTTTCCTAAACCAAGGCCACCCTTGATATGGCCGCTAACATTGGGGAGCGTTCCTTTATGACAATATTACACCCCAAACTGACAAATGGTTGGTAACTTGAACATTTACAAGAGACTAGGATGGCTGTGAGTTAGCCCAATGACGGGATTATTGTAGGTCCACTTCCCAGGGGCCCACCCAATGCAGCCGAAAAGGAGTGCGTGGTGCTGGGAGTGGGTGCAGCCTACATGGCCTAAGACAGGGCTCTCACCCTCCTTTCACCCACATCAGAGTCCCTTGACGTTGCCCATCGTCGACAGCCTAAAGCCTTCGACCATCGATGTGACTTGTCTCACATCAGTGTTTTGGGGTTGTGAACTTGTCTAAGACCCCCCATAATTAGACATCCAAATTCAAAACTCACATAGTTGGGATTGAACATAAGAAGCCTTCTCTAACTAAACAGAAAAGGGGGAGATGCCAGAAGCCAGGACCCTCGCCCTTACCCTTACCCCCTACCTTTCCCCACCTGCACAATGTCCTCTGAAGCTTGGCAGCTGCAAGATCCTGCTTAGCAACTGCAGATAGACTCAAAGCAGAGTACCATGTCTTCTTAAGAATAGCAGGGAGACCATAACTCAAGCAGTGTACCATATCTTCTGAAGAACTGCAGGTAGATCATAATTCAAGGCAGTGTACCATATAGACCATGACATGTTTCAAGGCACAGGCCAAGAAGATTTTGTACTTTTCCACCACCTGGACCCTCTTACCCCCTCCCCTTGTAAAACACGCTATAAAAAAAAGCATTTCATGTTCAAAAAAAAAAAAAAGAAATTAAAAAAAAAAAAGAAAAAAAAAGAAAAAAAATGGTATTTAGTATTCTTCTTTACTGACCATTTACAGTTTTGGTTTCTAGGTTTTCATTTACTCATAGATTAAATAAAATCAGGTGTGTGATTATTTTTTTAAAAAAAAAAAAAAAAGAAAAAAAGAAAACAAAACGGATTCCAACTGACAGGTGTCTCGGGCATGGCTGCAGCCATGATTGACAGGAGAAGGCATTGACAACTAGGTTTGGGAAGCCTAGTGCCGCTGAGGGCTTCCAGTAATTGCTAGGCCACAACTTGAGGAGGAGGGAGGACTCTTCTACCTAAAGAAGGGCCCATGAGCCAAATCTGCTCAGGAGATGGCTGATGACTGGTAGGAGCTGACCTCTTAGCAGGATTGCTCAGGCTGCAGTAGAGAGAGAAGCGCTGAGCCCTGTGGCTCGAGCACTAGACGTCTGGCCTAGAATAGGCTCTGACTATGCTTGCTGACTAAATAAATAAAACCTGCTCTGGTAGGTAAATGAGGGGGAGAGGAGGGGGAAAGAGAAGGTAGAGAAGGAGAGGATAAGAGGGGGAGGGGAGAGGGAGTGGCAGAGGAAGAGAAAGAGGAAGAGGGAGGAGTTGGGAGAGGGGGGCTAAGAAAGAACAAGAATAGAGTATGACAAACAAGTCCCACCAGCTAGCTGACACAGTAATAATGGTGAAATGAGGAATGAAGCCTACTCTGAACACGACAGTAGCATGAAGCTTAGTGGTAAGTGGATAAACAAAAGATTGTTAAGGGGTAAACTGTACCAGCTAGATGTTACTATCAAATCCTTTTAAGGGAGAGGGTAAGAGGTCTATGAACCACAGCGGGATAGTTTCCTTTGGAAGGCATTTTGTAAGACCTACATCTATAGTAAAATAACATAACCTGACTGGTCGACATTGGTTGTCAGGAGGAGCAGAGGCAGGTACTTTATTTGGTTTGTCTTTATTGGGCAGCCCCTTCTATTGAGTATGTCAGTAGGAAAGCAAAGTGTGGCATGGATAGGGGGCCCAGTAAAGACAACACAGGTCTTGCCAGAATCTTGAGTGGAGGAAGCACCTGAGGGTCTTATTCAGTATTGAGATGGGCAGTGAAACTCTGCCTGGGGAGACCTCTCACTGTACTGAAAATATACTCACTTCTGAAAAAGGTCTTTTTCTTTGGCAGTGAGATAAGAAACACCTTGCTGCCTGGTACACACGTGGGTCAGGGCCTCACAGGGCATGTGCTGAGGTTTCATGCAATAGAAGACTTGCTCACCACCACGGTACAGGTATTTGCATGGCTCATTGTTTGAGTTTAGGGTCAGGCCACATTCAGCTGTGACCTGGGATGTGCCATTAATAAAAGTACCTTTGAAGGCAATTCTGCCATAGCCTTGGTTCCTGGCTCTCCAGAGAGCTGACACTCCTTCACTGGGGTGCATGAGCAGGATAGACAGGGAGACAGGGCCCTCCCAGAACAGAGTGAAGCTGACGAGGTAGGTGCCATTGTTGAAGTCTGTCACCTTTCCAGAAGCACCTGCCTTCAGGGCTGGGGAGGACATCCTGGCTCTCAGGAAGTCCCCACCATACTCCTTCCTGTGACCAAAATAGTCCTTGGCCACCAGCAAGACGTCCAGCTGGTCTCCCACGCAGTATGTATCTCGAGGGTTGAGGATGGTGGCTGTGCTGTGTGTAGCGCTTGTTGTGTTGTTGAGGTGGACGAAGGGTCTGGGAGGGATCTGTCGATCCAGCTTCTCCAGAATCTCCCTGACTTTCAGCTCTGTCTCTGTTGGTGACTTGTCTTGTTTGTGGCCTGTGGTTTTTGGGGTCTCCTCTCTTATCTTAATCTCTGTTGATAACTTTGACTGGTTCATTGGAATTTCAGAAGAGGAGGATTTCATGCATGTGTTCCAGGGATGGAAAGATATGGATGTGTTTAGAGTGGTCCAAAGCTGGAATGACAAGAAATATAGTGCCCTTTAAAGAGGAACCTGCTCCCAGCCAGTTTTACTTACGAGTTAGAGTTTTACAAAAATATATTTATTTTAAAATAAGAACTTGGAGACTAAGAAGTTGATGAAATGAGTTTGCTCTCCTCTATCTATATACCTTGTAGCCTGTAACTACTTTTAGCTAGTTTCACACTGGCAGAATATTTCTGATGGCTAGTCCAATTATACAACTCAGAAAAATGAGGAAAAACGAACGATTGGTCTTATGACACTTTTTATTCTAAAATTTGATTAGTATAATATAGAAAAGGTGAAGGCTTTTCCCACCCATGAACATGGCTTTTTAATTCTTTCCAAACTGTTTAATTCTTTCCAAACATGTTTGCACATATTTTTATATAGACATGTTTATATAAACATGTAATAATGAAATTTATATATGTATAGGAATGGATGAATGTATTTGTTATGTGTTTCTAAGGGTTAATTTAAGATTACAGAGATGGATTCAGAAAGAAAAAAATATTGCAATATAATATATATTTTAATGGATTAGAGGCAAAAATCCCCTCGTATTCTAACTTATCTGATTATAATAGGGCCTCGAACTCACAATCCTCCTGTTTCAGTCCCCTGAGTGATGGGATTACACACACCTGATTTTTAAATACAGAAATGCCACAAGAAAAAACACAACAAAACATGGCTGAATTCCTATATAAACTTCCAGTGATAGCCTTTTCTAATTGTTGCTTAATATCCAGAAACTGTAAGGTACACTGGTTACTAAGAAGAACAGTTACATGGAAAAGATAGTAGTAGGCCGAATCTAGATAGCCAAGGATATATGCATCCAGATTTGGTGACAAACGCTCATTTAGTAATATGGCAGTTGGTGGCCTTAACAAGGGGCATTTGGGGTGCCTGTGAGAGGTAGAAATTTGATTATAAGGCTCTGAGGATGAGACAGGGGAAATAGAGACGGGGGTTCCCGCCCCCACCACTGTTTGATAAGGGAGAAGGAAAGTTGGTTAGAATGGGGAGATTGAGTGAAGGGCTCTGAGAAGACAGCTCACACAGGCACAGTTTCTGGTCAACGTGCGGAAACGTGTTCCTACCTTTGCAGAATTTTGAGAAATTGCAAATATTATCCAGGCAATTACTAAAAACAACAAGAACGTTAGCAGCATTTTCTGACACACTATATTTGAGAACATGGTCCGTGTCCTAGGAAAGAACACAAGAGAAGGCACTAGGTGAGAACGGAGGGAGAGCCTGGGCACACAGTGTTTCATGGAAACTGGTAATTTGCCTCGAGGCTAGATCATCTTCTGTGAGCCACCTTCTTTTTCCTTGTCTTAGTGAACAACCCCTTTGTCTTGTCTATCTTTTCTTACTCAGGCTTTGGTCTGAAGGCTCTGTTCCTCATCCTCAACCCCGAAATGGCAGTCAGATGCCTCCCTCCCCCCCATCCCTGCCATGTTCTCTTCCTGGTTCGTTTCCTATAAAAGCATCTCACTTTCACTCACCACAATCCCAATGAGAAGCAGAAAAATTAATTAGCCAGCAGATTTCTTTTTTTGGGTAGGGGAAGACAGAAGATACTGATGATACTAAAATAAGATACCTTTAAACAAAGTTGGTCCCGCAGTGACTCTTGTGTTGCCAAACACTAAGTATGAATCTTGAAGTGGAGATTCTCGTGGGGGCGGAGTCTAAATTACTCTGCATAAAAGACAAACTTAACAAGGTTAAATGAAGAAAGGGGAAGAGGAGTGGCTGAGGGAGATGTTGGGTGGGGAGGAGGAAGACAGACACAGAGAGAAGTGAGCTGCTAGCTCCTCCAAGTCAAGACAGTCATGGAGAACGGAAATAATACTCACCAGGTGCAGTGTGCAGAGATACACTGTTTTGTTTTTTTTTGTTTGATTATTTGTTTGTTTTTCGGTTTTTGGGTTTTTTTGTTTTTTTGTTTTTAAATCGAAACTACAGTGAATTTTAGGCTGTCCAAAAAGTTTCTGCATGGGTGAATTAACTTAATAGGTTCTAAAAGGAGTCTCTTTGCATCTTATTGGTTACAGAGAAAAATGAAGTAAAGCTCATGCAGAAACCCAAACATAATTGACTGGGAAGAAATGAATATATTCTAAAGAGACACTTTAGCCATCAGACTATTAAAACAACAGACCTTGAGAATTTGGAATTTCCCCAAGAATCTCATGCTGTAAGAAGAAAAGCCCGGGATGGCGCGAGCAGAGGACTGTTCTTTCTAAGAAAGGTTTACAATCTTTCTAAGAAAGAGGTTTACAGCCTTACAGGGACAGCGGTGGCTTCACAGTGGGCCCTGCCACACCTTGTTGGGACTGCTTAGGCATGCATTTCCACGATGCTACTGAGACTGGTCTCCTTTCAGAACCCGAAGGTAGACTTCAGTGAAGTTGCTGGATGTCGTTGTCCCTCTTCTCAATATGTTCGCGTCAAATACACCTCCTTGGATGCCTAGTGCTACTACTTACTCATTTGGCTTCTTAAATTGATTTCTCAAGGATGGGTGGCTGAACTTGGCTTCTTGGCATATAGACTTCAACCCCCAACTTCAGTATCAGAATCTAGAGGAGAAAGTCACCTTAGAGCTAGTTAACTGTTTTAAACGAGGTACCATGGCCAGTTGCAGCTAATCCTATGTCACTGTCTCATGATGGAGCTGTGACTTTCCAATGATGGATACATGGTGCTCAGGGAACTTCTCGAAGGACTGAATTCTGTGCCTGATTTCTTCCTGACTGAAACTAACTGCCCATTGTGAGCATTTACATCATAGAAACAAGCAAAAGCTGCAAACAGAGTTGCTTCTGGGAGACCTGAGCTGAGTTTACACTGCTCATAGTCAATCCCTAAAGTCAGCCTGTTCAATTCTCTTTTGTCACCAACTGCGGATTCTTCCCTCTGTCTTTGTGAACCATGTCCCCTACCAGAAACGTGGATTTTCTTCTTGACTCTTGGCTCCTAAAGTCTGGTCATCCTCTGTCACTAGCTACCCACATACAGACTGGAGATCTTGTACCTACCATCACTAGTGACATAAACTTATGTCTGGGCATGTGACATTCCAGTTACACTACACTTCCTGGCCTCTATGGTGTTTGGACACAGCCATAATATTCATTCTCTGCAGTGAATATAATTCAGGTTACATGACTTTTCTCTTCCAGTCTCTTTCCTTTTTTCTTTTCTCTTCTCTCTCTCTTTTTTTAAACTGTGGCATACTGGCTTCATCAGCAGCCTTGTTTTGATCATACAATAAGATGAAAGTATCCCGGAACATGAAGGTCCTAAGACTTATTTGTCCTGAAACAGGTCCATCTCTGGCTATCTAATGCAACCTAAAGACTTTTTCCTCCTAGACGACATTTTCAAACTTATAAAATAAAATACAGAGCGTGATAACTAAACTCAATTACACTGAAACAGAATAATCAACATTGTAAATAACCTAACTTCTTATTTAGTCATATGTAAGTTTTCCATCAATCAGCACACTAAATAACAAACAGGGAGGTATTACATTTATTAAAAAAAATTTAAAGTATTTACAATTATGGGTGGCATTACAAGTCTCTTTTATTTTATTTCATTTATTTTTTAATCTGTATGTGCATGGATGGTTTGCCTGCGCGGATGTCAGCGTTTTACATGTGTACAGTGCCTGAGGAGACCAGAAAAAGGTATTAGGGCCTCAGAAACCTGGGTTACTGACAGTTTTAAAACCCTTGTGAGTACTGGAATCAAACCTGCATCCTCTGGAAGAGTTGTCAGTGCTCTTAACTGCTGAGCTATTTCTTCAGCCCCTCAAGTCTCCTTAATAACCTCACTGTGGCATGAAGCCACCACAATTTTAAGTCACATATGGAGCCACAGTTATTGAAAAAAATCTGTTTTGGTTGTGTAACAGAGATCTAGGAGTCTTGTATAACTGGGCCCCTAACTGCCAGGAACAAGGGAGTTTTCATAGCAAATGTTGGGTTTGTAAAACTTAGGCTTTCTGAAAAGTTTATTAGGAAAGATTCTGGCCTTTGAAAACAGGAAAAACCTGGGGAATTAGTCTCTATGCCACAGGAAGAGACCCTGGTGACAGAGTTAATCATTTCCCGCCAGAAATTGACCAGGATTGCTATTATGGTTAGACACTTGGCCCCCATAGTACCCAGGGATAAGAAGTAGCCAGACAGTCAAAATATTGACTAACACAACTCACTGTGACTGGGGGAAGCCCAAGTTAGTATTGTAGGACTTGACCTTGGCCGTTCCCTGTTCTCTGTATTCTGATGCCTGCTATCCTGCCTAATGGGTCAATTAATCTGGATTCCAGCAGTGTTTCTGAGCCCCTGAGACTACTTGGTGGGCGTGTACCAGTGGTTTGACTAAATGTGCCCTTTGGATGCTTTCCAAACTAAGTAGATGAAGACCTGAGTTGATCAGGAATAATAAAAAGAAAATTTCTGCAATGGTTGGTGTGACCCAAGGAGTGGCACTATTTGGGGGTGTGGTCCTGTTTGAGTAGGTGTGTCACTGTGGTTATGGGCTATAAGACCCTGATCCTAGCTGCCTGGAAGTCAGTCTTCTCCTAGCAGCCTTCAGATGAAGATGTAGAACTCTCAGCTCCTCCTGCGCCATGCCTGCCTGGATAATGCCATGCTCCCATCTTGATGATAATGGACTGAATCTCTGTAAGCCAGATCCAAATATATGTTGTTCTTTATAAGACTTGCCTTGATCATGGTGTCTGTTCACAGCAGTAAACCCCTAACTAATGCAGTTGGGGAAAAAACCCTCAAAAAGAAAGAGACAAAGACATAAATCAGATAATTGATACCAGTCTGTTCTCTTAGTCTCCCTTGCTAACTAGTTTGTTAGCAATACTGTCTGGGCCTGTGATTCTCATTCTGATTGGATTAAGAAATGGGGCCCCGCATCTTAAACTGAAACAGGATGAGTCCATGATTTGACTAATTCACTAAGACCAGTGAAGAATGGAAAGGGGCCCCAGACCTTGGCACAACTGACTCAGTGATGGAAGTGCCACTCAGGCCACAGAACTCAGTACTTAGACCGCACCACCTGCCAGAACGAAAACAAAAACCCAACCCATCAAAGCTCTTAGTTATGGGAAACTCTCTTAATGATTAATCTTGTTTTACAGCTTCTATAGTTCTGCGTTTGGCTGCTTGTTCTCGTTGACTGAAGTATGTCAACCCAGAACATGGTTTTTGTGCTTAAAATCTCACCCAGAGAAAGGCTTAGTGCAACACTGGGTTCTGAAACACCCAGTGTAGCTGTTGATCTGCTAATAAAGACATTCTATTGGCTTAAGCCAGTGTCTGAGCAGTCTTCTTTGGCAGATACCCCACAATAGGGTTGTTCCTGACATTCACAACTGGAGACATTGCTGGAGTTCACTTAGGAGGGGAGTGAAAGGAGAGCTTCTCTCTATCAGCCCATTTCAGGGGGAGGTCCATCACTCCACAAACTCTTGAGGGGGGAACATAAGTTGATAGGAAGTCGATAGGAACAAGAGAGAGAAACAGAGTCTCATTGGATTGTCTTGCTTCAGCTGTTGCTCGTTAGTTACCTGTTTCCTTGTGCCACACCAGGCTGTTTGTCCCTAAGGGAAGTCAGCGTCTTTGTCATTTACGTTCCTTTTCCTGTCATTACTACTGCTGATCTGAAAGAGGTATTTTTAACTTATCACTTACAAATTGCCTTGGTTTAAATTTTTTTGTAACATTTTAGTAAGGTGTAATTTACATATCCTAAGCATACGTGCATTTAAACACACAGTTCTAAGGATATTGAGAAATGCTTTCCTCTGTGTAGCAACTGCACTCAATATTGAACATGTTTTCATTACCCCTAATGAATGATAGAAAGTCTTTATTATTACGCATAAACTTACACCGTTTCCCAGGCAACTAAGGCCCTCCCTTCTGCCTACTGTGTGTCTGGTCCCAGAAAAACATGGATCTCAGTTTTCTAGCTTTAAACATAGATTTGACTTTTCTTGGGTTTCATATAAATGGAATTATATGTATATTTACAATAATGTACATTATATATTCATTTGTGTGTTTTTTTGAGATTTATTTATTTTTATTTTATGTATGTGGGTCCCTGCATGTAGGTCTGTTTACCATGTGTTTGCTGTGCCCAGAGAGCCCATAGGGGAAGGGCATTGGATCCTCTGGAATTGGAGTTACAGATAGCCATTGTGTGTGTTCTGGAAGACCTGCCAGTGCTCTTAACTGCTAATCCATCTCTCCGATCCCTTTTTGTCTGTATTTTGATACAAACAGTCTCAAAACAGTCCTGGTTAGCATGGAACTTGCTATGTAGACCAGGCTGGCTTCAGATCCACAGAGAGCCATCTGCCTCTTCTCCCGAGTGCTGGTACTAATAATGTATGGCTCGAGATGGCTGCAAAGACGATAGCTCCTTTCTGCTCGGAGTTGGCTCCCAACAGGTGCTGGGAATTGAACCCTAGGACTTTGGAAGAGTAACAAGTACCCTTAATCAGAGAGCCACTTCTCAGCCCACCCCATACATAAATAATTTAAATTAATTCTTTGAGAATTTCATAGCTCATATAATTTATTTTTATCATAGTCACTCCCACAACTTCTAACTCCTTCCGGCCCGCCTCCCCAGTCCAGTTCCCTCCTCCCTGGACTAGGCCCCCTCCCCAGTATACTGCCCCCTCCCCAGTGTAGCCCCCCTTCCTCAGTCCAGCTCCCCCATTCCAGTGCCCCCTCCCTATTCCTCTTTCAACTTCATTTCCTGTTTTTAATTTTAATTTTTCTTTTTTTAAAAATGACCTGCTGAGTCAAACTGGTAAAGATAACACACTCTTTGGTGTGGAACCCATGGATCAGATTACTTTCCAAAAAAAAAAAAACAGTTTTTAATTAGTGGTATGAGCTGGTGAGACTTTCTTGTTGCCTGTTGATGTTGGCTGGCTACATAATTACGTATGTATGTATGTATGTATGTATGTATGTATATATATATATATATATCTTTTAAAAAATAAATTCTTGTGGCTAATATATAGAAATTCTAGTGATTTGCTTTTTAGAGGATTTTACAGCAGCATGCATTCAGATCAGAGACAATTGTAACTGGTGCCTAGCATACAGTATTTCCTCTCTTTCAGTGAATTCTATTTGAGGAAGTTCTTATCTAAAAAACCCAAAAGTTTCTTGTTTTTAACATTGCTTGAAACTGAGCTACCTTGAAAGGCTTTTTTTCTGATTTATCAGGGTAGTTGCATAATTTTTTAAAATGCATTTTCAATTGTGACAGATCACACTAATATATGTTCTAAGTCAAAGCATATGACCATTGCTGGCTCAAACTCAGCCAGGTTATAGCATAAATCTCAATTTCAGTATGACCCTATTTTTGGTGAGAGTACAAATTAATGCAGTTAATTTATGGCACTGTCTTGCTTGCCTGCTGTTTACCTAAACTTTAGTTTTACACTGTGTGTAGATCGTAAAAAAATCTATCACTCGTGTTCACACACAAAAAAATCCACAATGAAATTTTATTTCAGTAGACTATGTAATTCTGCATATGAATAACATGGACTTTACTATGTATTATAAAAAATAGTTAAGAAAATCTCCTGAAAGACAAACCTAGCATTCAGAAGCAACACCCTAGGATCATGTCAAGGGGAAGCACTCTGAAAAGCAGCGCTAGAATGAATGTCGTCTATACAGATCTTCACGTATATTAGACACACTCACAAAGCACACATCCAAAGACACATTTTAGAAAGACGACTTTGCTTTTCTGACTGAAGAAAACAACCTTCTAAAGAATGACACCGGTCCAACCAAACTTGATAATCACCCAGTCCTCAAAGCAGGAGGACTCGTTCCCTTTAGAGAGCTTTCCAGAATAAGTCTAGGGCACACTGATCTTTGTCACCGTTCAAGGTTCCACAGCGTATTCGTATATCCCCATCAGGATAATACCACATATGAAAAGCCACACCAAGCAGTGTGATCAGCTACAAAGAAACACTGCTGATATTTGTTGTAAGGACTTCCCCAGGCAGATGTGACAAAGGTCTGTTTCCCCCCAGACTGGAGACCAATCCCAAGCCTAAGTGAACTGAGCCCACTTGGGGTTACTTACAGGAAGAAACACTCCTGATTCAAAGGTAGCCACGTCAATGAAGCCCGAGGCAGTGAGGACCATGAGTCTTGACTCACAGAAGCTGAGGCTGGCCCGGGAGCTCTCTGGCTCAACCTGCCTGCAGTTCCACTGGACTGACAACTGTTATATAACTGTTTTTATAACCTTTGGGAGGAGTCTTGCAATCTTGGGTTGGAACAGTAAATATAGGTCTATCAAATTCACCTTCTTCCTTTTTGTCTTTTTTCCAACTTGGTGCTCTACCGGCTGAGAGACATGTGTGATACATCTTCCTTCCTCGCCCTATTTCAGCTTTCAAAATTAATGTAGTTAACCAGAGCTTGGTACTTGGCAATGTGGAAAAAGTTTATTGAACAACAGGGAGTAGAAAACAAGGGTGGGTGAGGGAAAGAAGAAGAGGAGGGGGAGAGGGGAGGGAGAGAGAAGAGGAGGGAGGGAGAGAGCAGGCACAGAGCAAGACAAGAGCACAGAACAAGAAGACTAGAGCACGGAAGCAGACATGCAGAGGGAGAGGCAGGAAGGAGACGAGTTACTACTTTGTTTTCTCGGCATTCAGTTTTCCTTTCCTATTGAGGTTTTTTTCTCTCAGGTTATTGCAACACCCAAAATGGGGGAGAGGGCAAGAGACCAACTCTGATTGGTGGCAGATTCCAACAACTAGTAGCTGTGTCCGTGCTACTAGTTAGCAAGGGACCTACTATCTATACCAAAAGGGACCCATGAATGTCTTAGATCTAGCATGACAGTAGAAAAAGTTACCAAAAAGGGGGGTGGGTACCAAAATAAAATAAAAGCTCACACCCGTAATAGCCCATGGACTTTACTTTTGTTTGCTCTGAGCTCTTTTAATGCTTCCATCTACAGACAAAAAGAAGCCACCTGCTAGCTAGTATTACGAAGCAGCAAGCTGCCATCTCAGCAGTGAAGTCTATATGGTTCTCCTGACAGCCTGGTGAGGGCCTAACTTGGTCTCAGTCTCCACAGGGATACAGTCGTAGTCTGGGTTGAAGGAGAATTTCAACAAAAAGGATAGAGCTAGTGTCAGCCCTGTAAGTCCTTCAAAAGACTTCTGGGAGAAATCCAGAAAGTAGGAAAGGGAGGGGGTTGGTCTTTAGGGAATGGGTCAGAAGGAAAAATGCCAAGGCTAGTGCAGCCTTGAGTATCACAGGGACCCAGGAAGCAAGGTAATGTAGACAGAGACACAAGACTCTGGGCTCACTTCAAGAGTGAATAACTTTTCTTTTTCCTGTTGCTGTTTATATATTGCTTTGCTAGCTCTTAGAGAGATCATTGCAAGCAGAGCTAAGGGAACCTTTTACCCAACTTTCCGAGTTCTTTCTTCTGCACTTTGTTGACTATGTGGCTTTGTTTTGTCCCAAGGGCATTTGTCCTAGATTTTATCTAGTTCTAACAGTCTTTTGTAGTCACCGAGCAGTCATAGAACCACATCTGAGTCAGAGTTTGTGCTTGAGTGAGGGACTGCAGACCACCTCCAAAAAAGTAGACACAAAAAAGGACAGTAAAATAACAAAAAAGATATCTGAGGAAACTGTAAGAAATCAGACCATTAACTATTATCTAAAAAACCATATAATATGTGAAATTGCATATATAAATATACATATGTAGTTTAAGTATTCTCACTTGGACTAATAATGCTCCCTCCAAGAACTGAAGACCACCTAATAAAAACCGCAATACCAGACACGAGAAGCTCAGTTTTGAATTGTTGGTCAGGGCTGTCCAAGAGGCTCCCAAAACAGAAAGCCTATTGCTACTGTCCCTGGTTACTCCGTAGAGGTGGAAGGTAAATCCCTATGGCTGAAGGCACCATGCACTTCAGACACTGATCCCAGAGACCGCAGAGCTGGAACTGACCTGAATGTTTCCTTCTTGAGGAGGTCTAGCTTTTTATAGTACCAGAAGATTCTGCAAGCTTCCAAAGGAGGGAAGCAATCAACAGTCCTACTCGTTGGTGTCTATGAGCCACAACTCAGCATGGTACAATAATCCTAACGGTACAGTAGTGTACACATGCCTTGGCAGTAACCAACAGCTCTCTCAACAAGAGGGAAATCATGCCTGATACCAGAAACCAAGCAAATGACTCAATGCTGGTGAAGTCATGGATCTTGGAGGAGAGCCTACAACCACTACTTTATGAAACAAGGATAATCCCTAACAACAATCTATAAGCCTTCACCAAGGTGATATGACATCTTAATATAACTGTTGATTGCAAAAAAAGTGATTTAATTTAAATTTTTATATGTATCGGGGTTTTGCCTGCAATTACGTCTGTGTATTGTGTGCATGCCTGGTGCTTCTGGAAGCCAGAAGAGAGTATCAGGTTCCCTGTGTAACAGAAACTTTTATTCTCCTAAGGTAATTGCCTCAGAGGCTTACTGCCTCCATCTGTTAACCTTGGCCTGACTCTGGAAGCGTCTAGCCTTCATGCAATCTTATCTAGGTCTAGAATGATTTCACCCTATAGACTTCCGGCTGAATAAGCTCACCCCTTCCTAGCTCTTTCTGAGCTCTTGCTGACTGGCCAACTCAGTTGTTCTGGTTCAAGCTCCTCTCCATAACTGATTCAATCTGGCTCCTCTCTCAGCCTCTCCTGAACTGCACTGCTTGGCCTCATACTAACTTTGGCAATGTGTTCTAATCTTCTGGTTCCTTCTAATTTTCTGGATCATTCTATTTTTCACCTGTCTCTAGCTCGTTGTCTCTCTGTAACTTGTCTCTGCACAACTGTCCTCGTAAAACTATCTTCTTCTCTCTCTGCCTCTGCACTGCTCTCTTAAGTAGCTACCATTTCCTCTCTTTCCCTGTGTGGTTGGACACATCCTATTCTGTCAAATCGTTCTGATTCATCACTTTGTCTGCCTCTCAATTGGACATCATTTTCAAACATGGCTGTTTCCTTCTACAAACTAACTTTAGCTTCCTTGTTCGGGATTAAAGGTGTGTACTAAGGGCGTATCTGTATTCCAATCAGAGGGATTAAAGGTGTGTAATAAGGTCTGAGCCACACCACACTAGAAACAGTTTTTTTCCCCCAGTAACTAACACACACTTGCCATCCACAGTGTGATCAAGTATCTTGCAACACCTCTAGAAATTGAGCCACTATGTGTGTGTGTGCTGGAAATCAATCCTGGGTCCTCCGAGAGAGCAACAAGTGACCTCTGAGCCATCTGAGAGAGCAACAAGTGACCTCTGAGCCATCTGAGAGAGCAAGTGACCTCTGAGCCATCTCTTTAATCATTTCTCTTCATTTAAGATCAGTGAGCAGCCTGATATCCTGAGTTCAATTATTGGGACCAACATGGCGGAAGGAGAGAACTGACTCCTAAGTACTGTTTTCTGACCTCACAGGTACACTGTGGCATATATCTCCTCTCCAAACAAATAAAGATAACATAGAAAAATATAAAAGATATAGCCAGGCAGTGGAGGTGCATGCCTTTAATCCCAGCACTTGGGAGCCAGGGACAGGCAGATCTTTGTGTTCAAGGCCATCCTGCTTCTACAGAGTGAGTTCTGGGACAGTCAGGGCTACACAGAGAAATCCTGTTTTGAAAAACAAACAACAAACACAAAAAGGAAATATAAAGAATATAATTTATAATATATTTATGAAAAACAAGCTTTACTTTTGTATTTAATATATAAAAGTAAAATCACTAAAATATTTTGCATTATTAATTCTTATTTTAATAGGTGTTTCATTTAGAAATTTTATTTTTATTTGCTCTAAAATTAGTGTACAAAATATCAGGTTTCATGATGGTGTTTTGGGACATATTTTGTTTTTGTTTATACAAAATCTTATATCTAAAAAAGCTGGAAAACCTAGAAGAAAGATAAATTTCTAAGTGCATTTGGCCTATCAAAGTTAAATCTAGAAAATAGAAACAGTTTAAACAGATCGGTAACAAGCAATGAGATTGAAACAGTTATTAAAAGTCTCTCTTCAAATAAAAGCCCAGACCTGGACAGATTAAGTGCTGAATACCATGAAACTTTTAAAGAAAATCTAATCAAAACACTTCTCAAAATCTTTCACAAACTACAGCCAGGAGGAACACTACTCAAGTCATTTTTTTTTTTTTTGGAGGCTGTATTAGCCTAATGTCAAACTCTGAGACCTGTCCAAGATTGAAAGATACAGATCAATTTTCCTGATGAACACGGATGTAAAAATTATCAGAAAAATATTTACAAATTGAATCAAAGACATTTTAAGAATTTTTATCAAAATTACTTCATTGTTCTGAACTCACAGCAACAAGAAGGCCTTACTCACAGGAATCCTAACTTCAACCGACAAAGAGCAACGTGGCTCTAGTAAAAAAAAATGTGGACCTTTCATTAATTCTTTTGAGCTTCAATTATGAGCAGAAGGCCAGTGTATGAATGCCTTGTTAGGCTGAACTGGGTGGACCATATGGACCATAATACAGATTATGTCCTTGGATTAACTGGGATATCCTGGCAGCAGGATTCACCGTATCATTTAAATTCACTGAGTGACTTTCAAAGTTATGTGTCTGCTAGCAAATATAGTTTAAGAATATATTAATTTGACTTCTAACTACATCCTCTGGTGGATGGACATTGTTTATGCCATATGCAATTGTCATATCCCAGGCATCAATGACACCCACATTGAGATCCTGAAAAATATCCTTTAAGGCAAGATATTGGGTGTAACCGTGAAAGTCACTAAACCTCTCCACATCGCTGTTCACCTCCCTGGTGTTTTCTGTTTTGAGAACCACCACAGTGTCCGGGCTTCTCAGGAGAAGACGCTGAAGAGCTTTGTGAACATTGAGGGCCCTTCGGATAAAAACATCAATGGGAAAAGGTCTGAAATGCTGGCCAAGAGAAATAACGATGACCGTGTTTTTCTCTCCTCCAGTTCTGTCTATTATCCGTGCAATGTTCTCTATTTCTTTGACGGAGTAGACCAATGAGCCGATAAGAGGGTAACCATGTTTTTGCCACTGGATGCTGATTTTCTCATCCAAGTCCACGGCAAGTTGGTGTTGCAGTTTCCCAGTCTCGTGCAGGTCCACGGACCTCAGCGCTGATAGCAAACAGGCAATCCCAAAACAAAAGGAGAATACAGTTACGAAGATCAATTAGCCACAAACACAGGAGAAAAGAGCTGGTGTTTAGAGTCCTACAAACGTATCATATCTGATTATGGAGTGGTTTTGAGAATTACTATAAGGATTGAAAGTGCCTTATGATGAGGTACTTTGCTCTTCTTCAGTGATGCAGATTGAATTATGTGGGGAATGGCTTTGGCATTTAAATCAGCTTTCCTGGATATGAACAGTTGTGCACATGTTGTGTTGTGTAGGACTTGCTAACTCTGTGCTGACCTTATCTGAGGGTAGACAGGGAAGGCTATTGATGTTGTGTGCAAAAAGAATCTAAGCAGAGATCTGTAATGACTGTAGGAATCTAAGACTGTATTCTATGTTCTTCTGTGGCAACTATGAATGGAATAGCACCAAGTATCTCATTTACACCAGTGACAGTGATGCAATCCCTCACTTGTGATGCCCTTACAAAGCATTTGTCGCTGAGAGAAACAAAGTAGCGAGGAGCTGATTGTTGACCGGAGGTCATGGTTTAACATGTCCCCTCTGCTGGGAAAACTTTTGTAACTTAGAGCCCAAATCCTACCAAGGTCACCTTTCCATTAATAGGACTCATTTTTTAAGTATTGGAGACTACAAGATGGGCCTAATATCAAGGCCAGGAAGAAGATATCGGCTCAACCTTGCATTCAGTGACAAGAGCCAGGGCCCGAAGACATAGATGGGTGGAAAGTGAAGGTGGGATATGGCATTCTGGTAAGTCTTGCCTTAGTGTACACAACACTCAAACTAGGGTTCTTAGAGAAAGAGTGTAGCCACAATTCTATACTAACGTGATCAGAGTTTCAATTGTTCTGCCTTCTGGCTACTTTTTATGTGTTAGTTAGTGTGCCTAGTGGTGTCTTAAATGCTCTCTATTCATTATTTTATTTCATTCAAAACAAACACTAGGGGTAATGAACATTGTTCTAGGAAATGATAGTAACATTTTGTGAATAATGCTGGTGGTTTGTGGTTAACAACTATGGTAAAGAAGAGGCACTTCCTGTATTTTTTTTCTCTTAAAATGGAAACATAGTTTCTCAAAGAGCCGAGAATAGCTTATTCTGAGACATACTGTTGATTTTGCTTTTGAAGTACTCCATCCACTGGCGGATTGTAGAATCACCCATTAGATAGATGAATTTTCCTCTTAGGCAATCTTTCATTTTGATTGGAGCCAGACTACAGGAGACCGGAGTCCATGAGTTTTTCCAGACATGCCCACTAGGGATTGCAGAGACCATCCTGAGTTTGCATTTCTCCTTCACTGGAACTCTTTCTGCCAAGGAATCAGGAAGATAGGGTCTTCTAAAACACCAGGTCTATTCATCTCTGTTTATTAATTGCCTTTCTTTTCTTTCTTTCTTTCTTTTTTTTTTTTGATTTTTTCGAGACAGGGTTTCTCTGTGTAGCCCTGGCTGTCCTGGAACTCACTCTGTAGACAAGGCTGGCCTCGAACTCAGAAATCCACCTGTCTCTGCCTCCCAAGTGCTGGGATTAAAGGCATGCGCCACCACCGCCCGGCTGCCTTCCTTTTCAAAGACCCCCTTGGATAGGTGTGTAGTTGGTGGTGGCAATAAAAAAGCTTATCAAAATATTTTTATAATGGAGTATTTATTCTCAGTAGAACTTTCCTCTGATGTGTGCCCCCTAATGGATACCTATTAGTGTTTATTATGAAACTACATGGGTTTTTCCTCTCAGAATACAAAAGGTCTTATAAAGTAAAATTTAAGTGTTTGTTAGCCTTGTCATGAGACTGACTTCATCAATTCTTGTATAGGTGGAGAAGCATAAAGATTATCCTACTATCATTTTATCCCACTTGCATCAGAGATTGTCACATGCTCTCAGTGTCTAAAATGTCATCGTTAAAGTATGTACTCATTGAGATAAAGGCAGGGATGAACTTGGCTTAGGAATTGTCCCTGTGCATTGATAGTAGCTGTGTCCTGGAGAGTAGCCTGGTTGTACAAGAAAGACCATATCTTCAACTATAGTCACTGGGTAATGAAGAGACTGGGGGCTAGGATGGTGAGGCGGCAGGTTTGGGGTTACAATTATTCATCACTCCAAAAGGCTAAATTAGTATCTTAATAACTTCTGTCTCTTTTCCCCTGTAAGTCCGTCTCTGTGTGTTTTTGTGACAGGGTCTCATGTAGCCTAGGCTTGCCTTCAACTTGCTATGTAGCCGAGGATGATCTTGAATGTTTCATCTTCCTGGGGTCCAGCCTTGGGCTTTGTGCCTCCTGAGTAAGCACTACATTTCACTTCTGCAATCAGAAACACACTTTCCTTCAATGGAAAACTGTCCTAGCGATTAGCAAGCTTTCCTTGGTGAACCTAGAGGGACAAAGATGCTGCTGCCTGAAGTCAGGTTAGGTGGGATGGGTGAGCTGCTCAGAGAAAAAAACACAATGCAAGGAGGAGGAGTGGATGGATACACATGTGAAAGTTCTTCTTTGGGGAAAAAAAAAGTCTTCAAAAACGGAGAGAAGAATGGTGTAAATTGGTGTTAGGATGGCGGTAGATGTCACATCGGAGACATCTTAAGTGACATCCCTAGGGAGGATGTGAAGAGGGTAGGGGAGGATTAAGGAACTAGGTAAAGGCTTAGGAGCGAGTTTCACCCTCTGGAGGTTCCAGTGTTAGATGAGCAGGTGACCTTTGACCCGATGAGTAGATTGCTGACAACTATGGCAGCTAAAGCACCTACGTAAGGTTCTAGTGATCACACCCATTCGTTCACTTATGGACTTTGTATTTTGGCCTGCCTTACAGGAACTGAGACAGTGACCAAGTCCAAGAGAAAGAGAAGGGCCTTTAAATGGGTTCAGTGTTAATCATCCCCCGCCAGCACAGAACTACTTACTGTTGCATTTGGAGACACTAATCACATTGGATTTTCCCATAATCTCCACACCTATATTTGACCTTAAAGAGACAAATACAGAAATTAATCTACAGTGGCTTCAACTTAGGCAAAGTTCCAGATGCCAGATTGGCTAGTCCTTCTGTGAGTTCTCAGTGATAATCCAATTTTCCCATCTAGAATTTCAGGCCACTTAGGAAGTTTCCATTCATTCATTTCTTAGTCCATAGGAGACAGGGGCCCTTAATATGTGTGCAAGGCAGTGTATGGAGACACAGAATGTATTAGAACACACACACACATACACACACACACACACACACACACACCTCATTCTTTCACTCAGCCCATGTTTTGGGGTTCATCAATAAGGATTACCTATCCTAAAAGTCTGAGGACTCCTGGAGAATGAATGCTAACTCCAAATGAATTCCTTGGTCCCTTTTTAAAGGGGTCTTCTTATAGAGTCCTAAGTTAACAAGCTTGGAATACACTCCCTGCAGGCTATATTACCGCTTCTCCATTGGTAATGTGAAATGATACTTATTTACCTTTCAAATAGGCTCCTTTCTTGTTGGCTAAGATAGGAAACTTCCGTGTTCTTCGAACGCATGTGAGTGAGGGCTGCACAGGGCACATTTGGAGGCTTTACACAGTAGAAAGCTTCTTGATCCTGGGCATCCAGATACTGGCACAGCTCGACACTTGAATTTAGAACCAGGGCACATTCGGTTTGGACATGAGAAGCACCATTGACAAACTGGCCTGAGAAGATTATTCTGTCGTAGCCCTGTTTCCTGGCTCTCCAGAGAGCTGACACCCCTTCACTAGGGTGCATGAGCAGGATAGACAGGGAGACAGGGCCCTCCCAGAACAGAGTGAAGCTGACGAGATAGGTGCCATTGTTGAAGTCTGTCACCTTTCCAGAAGCGCCTGCCTTCAGGGCTGGGGAGGACATCCTGGCTCTCAGGAAGTCCCCACCATACTCCTTCCTGTTTCTTAGGTGGTCTCTAGCCTCTACCAGGATGTCCAACTTGTCCCCTACACAGTATGTATCTTGAGAGTTGAGGATGGTGGCCGTACTGTGTGTAGCGCTTGTAGTGCTGTGGAGGTGGGTGAATGGTCTGGGAGGGATCTGTTTGTCTAGTTTCTCTAGGACCTCCCTGATTAGTAATTCTGTCTCTTTTGGTGAAACTGGTGGGTTCAGAGGCACTGCAGAGCATGAGGACTTCATGACCAAGTTCCAGTGATTGAAGGACACAGGTAACTTGAACGTGGTCCATAACTGAAAGGACAAGAAATAGAATAGAAACCAAAGAAAAAAGTTGCTATTTAATGCAACAAGTTTTGGTAGATTAACTTTTGTCTTTTGTTGTTGTTGTTGTTGTTTTGTTTTTCGAGACAGGGTTTCTCTGTATAGCCCTGGCTGTCCTGGAACTCACTCTGTAGACCAGGCTGGCCTCGAACTCAGAAATCTGCCTGTCTCTGCCTTCCAAGTGCTGGGATTAAAGGCATGTACCACCACTGCCTGGCTAACTTTTGTCTTTTATAGACCACTGAAAGGTATATAAATCATATACCTGATATTTTGTGGTTTTATATATATTTCACGCATAGGCAGCATTCTCTAAAAACTGTCAGTATTACTCTGCTTTCTAATGACTTAATTTGGAAAACCCATTCAACCCCAAATAGCTAAGATCATCTTCAAAATGATGGTGATATGAGGCTGCCAAAACTTCCTTGCAGTCAAGAGTTCTTGCTGCTCCTAAAGAGACCCTGAGTTCAACTCCCCATGGCTAACACCCAGCTCTAACCCCAGCTCTAGGAGATCTGCCATCATCTCCAGTCTTTATGGGCCCTGCACTTACATAACTGTAAATCTGTTTTACCAACTGAATGTCTGGTGCCTTGAATGGTTGTTGTTAGGAGTATAGAATAACACAGTGTGCTGGATAATTTTATGTCCACTTGACACATGCTGTAGTTATCGGAGAGGAAGGGACCTAAGTTGAGAAAATGCCTCCATAGGAACAGGCTGTACCGAAGCCTGTAGAGCATTTTCTTAATTAGGGATTAATGGAGGGAGGCTCAGCCCATGGTGGATGGGGCCATCCCTGGGCTGGTGGTCCTGAGTTCTATAAGAAAGGAAGCTAAGCAAGCCATGTGGAGCAAGCCAGTAAGCAGCATCCCTCCACGGCCTCTGCATCCTCTCCTGCCTCCAGGTTCCTGCCTTGTGTGAGTTTCCGTCTCGACTCCCTTCAGTGATGAACTGTGATGTGGAAGAGTAAGCCCAATAAGCCCTTTCTTCCCCAGCTTGCTTTTGGCCATGGTGTTTCTTCACAGCAATATAAACCCTAACTAGGACATACGGGGGCATTAGAAAAGCATTGGGCACATGGTAGATACTTATTGTGACTGTCTCTATTGTTTGAAAAGATATTTAAAAATACTCAAACGTGTCAAATGAAGTAATGACAATGGGTCATTGTCATCAGTCACTAATTATAATCTTCGGTAAAGCCAAAGTAGTTTGCATGAGCCCAATTCTTGTGTCGATAATAATGATAAACTATGAACAAAAATGTTTGTAATAAGACAATTCCCTAAGAGCACTGAGAGCTGAGGTTAGACAACTGCAGGTGTGAGCTCAGCTTGAGCTGTAGCAAGAGAAGAGCTAACCTGTGCTACAGGGTGAAACCATGTGTCAAAAAAAGCAAAACAAAATCCCGCAAACAAACAAATACCTAAAAGCAATCAGCCACCACCACCAAAACCTCAACTCCAAAGCCAAGAAGCAACCAATGGAAGAGGGAAATCAAACAGCAGCAGCAACAAAGCCGACAGCAGCACACTGAAACATAAGCCTTTCACAAAACAGCTGCGAGGTTGGAAACAGCACGCAGTTGGAAACAGCACATAAATGTTTGAATATTTAGATAGCCTGGTACTGGAGGGGGAGAAACGTTTGCCATTCGCAATTATCCACGGTGTTTAAAAGTCAGGTCCATTTCTGCACATAGAAATGAACATATACTCTATTCTTCAGATACTTCCTTAAAGTAGGTGCTAACAAAGGATGGAGATGATGTGTGACAGTGACACATTCACATGCAAGCAGCATAGGTCTGTGCCAGCACACACACAGACACACATGCAAACACGTACACAGAGATACGTACACAGACACACAGAGACACATACACAGACACACACATACACATACACAGACACAGGTACAGACACAGACACAGACTCACATAGACACACACAGACACACACAGACACACACAGACACACATAGACACACACAGACACATATAGACACATACAGACACACATACACAGACACAGGCACACACAGACACACATAGACACACACAGACACACACAGACACATACAGACACACATACAGACACACACAGACACATACAGACACACACACAGACACACACACAGACACACACAGACACATACAGACACACACACAGACACACACAGACACATACAGACACACACACAGACACCTACACAGACACAGGCACACACACACAGACACCTACACAGACACAGGCACACACACACAGACACCTACACAGACACATACACAGACAACACAGACACAGACATATACAGACACAACACAGATACAAAGACACACACACACACACACACACACACACACACACACGAATGACTGTCTTATAAAGCTTTTCAGCCCTCATAATTTCCTATCTGTGAGAAGTACCCTCTACCCTGGGTCCCAGCTTACACACGAAAGTTTGTAGGGTCATTGCCATTGTCAAACATTGCCGTGTTAACCACTGTGAGCTACATCGGTTCCTGGGCACAAAATATCAAGCAAAACAGAAAAATAGATCAACTCCTACCTTCACGGGGTTTCTGAAAACTGTAAAGGACACCAAGAAGATCACTATAAACAGCAGCGCCCACAGAGACTTACGATTGGTCATCGTTTTCATAGTTCAAATCCTGTGAGACAATTATAGGAGCTTACCACTAAATGAAACCGGAAGTAGATCACGCAAAAGTGTAACCTACTCACCACGCCTGGTTATTTCCTCACTTAAATTATTCCAAAGGTGACATCTTGGCCCTCTGGGCTCCCCCGTAACCCCCTGCTGCAATTACTGGATTACCTATCAGCTTGGAGCCCACTGTCAGCCAAGACACTAAGAACAGGGAGTAGGCAGGACACTGTTATCTAGGTGGGTCTTCCAGGCTCTGCAATTTTATGGAGTCTCAATTCTTTACAAATATTGACTCTAAGAACCACGTGAACTTCTAGTAGAAGCTAGCCCGCCAGCCTTCAGATGGTCCGTTTCCCATATTGCCAGTTTTTCTGGCACCTCTCAACCTTAAAAAAGAATTACTTTAAAACTCCTAGGTATTACTTTCTCTTCTTAAAAATTTTGAAGCTTTAGGCAGTCCTCCTTCCATCGTGACCCACCCCCTCAGTTTATATGGACATTTGTCTTTGATCTGAAACTCTGAGTTTGTTTCTTTAGGTTAGATAACCCCTGGTGGGGGTTACTGGTCAGCATACATAGATGTCTAATGTCAGCCTAGGGTTGTAAGAAAAAAAAAACATATAATTTTGCTTGAATACCATCCTTACAAAACTTCCTACTTCTCAAAAATTTCTTCTTCGAAGCACCCTCTGCCTTAGATCCCAAAGGATTTAGCACCCAGGAACGAATACTGGCCCCTCCCAACACCAGTGATTTTCATACCTTTAATAGAAAGGCTTGTTTTGGTCTCATTTCAAGAAACTGGGTGAGCCTGGTGGAGAGCCTGCTTCTGTGGCCAGGGGAGTGCTACCAATGTCCAGCCTTCCTTCACCAAAACATATCACCGGTACAAGCCGCAGGGCATAGGGAACCAGCTACTTTCCAGTGGGATTCATGCCCTTCACTCTAAGCAGGAATCTGGTTGACAAACTGCAGTGACCAAGTCAAGTAGAAGCTGAAAGGAGGGACAGTATACGCTGCACAGCACGTGGAATGGTTGCAACGGACTGAAACATCAGGGGCTTTAAGTCTGACAAGCAGACTGTAAATACTCCCATGGGAAGTTGAACCTCTTCCTACCTGAGCATCCCTGTGAAGACTCAGTTACCAAGATTAAAATCCACAGTATTCTGTGAATAGTACATGCTGTGCAAAAACAGGAACTGAAGGGGAACTGCCTCAAATACAATAAAGAGAAAACAGTGATAGTGATCATACCTCAGACCAAGAGGAGGACGCAGTCACATGGTCCAATCCAGTTGAATTTGTGCTCTTGTTCTGATGGAGTCCCAGGAAGAGCAGGTATCTCTGACACATGCATAGGGCCCACAGGAAATAGCAGTTGGTCTTGTGGGGCCTGTTAAATATTAAAACTTGACAATAGCTCTGCCATATTCCCTCAACCTTTATTCTGTAGCTTATAACCTTAACTTAATTTATTGTTCCTTGCCCTGACAAAAACATCTTGTGCTTTGTCACAGAGCCTCATGGACTTTGGAGATCTCCTAGCCTCCTTGCCTCTCGACCCAGGCTATCAGCTTAAAGGTCAGACAGTGATGCTTCGTCTAGATAGCCTATGTGCCGCAAATGTTGCAAATGCACTTTTTTGTTGTTTCCCCCATGTAAAAACTGGTTCGGAGGACTGCCTTGGGTGGCAGTTTTTGGATCCTGAATCCTGATACTGGACAGAGATTGGTGTTTGAGTGCTTCGTGTGGCTCTTCCTGGATTCTAACAGCCCCCTTCATGAGTCTTGTTTACACGGCCCCTTATAAGAGTTTATGTGCATTTGAACAGGTCACCAACCTTCCCATCTTTTTGCTGTTGTTTTTTTCTTTTAAACAGAGTCTCATGTAGCCCTGATGAGTCTCATGTAGCCTCAGACCCTAGATCTTGTCACTTTACCCACCTAATCGTAACAACAACAACAACAATAACACCACAACAACATAAAACCCAACAAGCTAGACTCTTTTAGAAAGAAAATGAAGACTTTTCAGCATGTTAGTCATGTTCTAGCAGATGACCTATAGCGATACTTTGTTTCCGTAGGATGACTTCTGAACAAACCCTTTTAACCTTACGTAGCTGGGTCTGGATCCCTCAGTTGGGCTCTAAAGAAGTCTATAAGAAGGGCAAGCATGTGCAATGGTTTTCGCTTAGCTGCTCCTAGGAAGGCAGGTGGCAACAACTTCCCAAGATCCCAGGCCTCTTGAGTCATTACAGATTTAATGGGCTTTAGTCATATAGACATTGGCAATGTGAATTGACATCAGTTTTATGAGACAGGCATAGGTCTTCGTGGCTCCATGAACCAAGAGTAAAGAGAGAGTTTTAATCATTTACCAAGGTCATCCAGTGAGGTCCAAAACAGGACGAATCCCAGGTTCCTGTTTTCATGTTCTCTGTCGCTCAGAGAATTTTCTACACTCAAACATACATGATATGGACAAGTTCACGTAGCTCCCTGGGACTGCTTACTTACTGCCATTACATTTAAAAGGTCTCTATCTCTGCATCCGTATGGCTCTATCTTGCCCTGGCATCTCCTGTATTCACCCCCCTCTTCTCTGATTTCTAGAGGCCATGAAGAAGCTCCTCTGCCTTCATGGTCTGCTTCATGCCAGACCCAGTGAGCATGGACCCAGTGGGTCCAGGTGAGCATGAACCAATGTGCTAAAAGAAACATCTCTTCCTTCAAGTTCTTTGTGTCAAGGATTTTGTCACAGAATCAACACCCCAAAAGAACTAATATAGAAATTCCAGGGAGAAGAATGTTAGCTCTCAAATTCTCAAACATGTGAAGCTCAAAATTGCACAAAGCTAGCCCTATATATTCTACACACAGGTCACCATGTTGTTTGTGATGATAGCTTGTCTCCCAGGAAGCTGGGAGATGAAGAAAGAAGTCTATATGCCTTTTATTTCAACTCAGTGAACTTAGAAAATCTCAAAATTAACAGCATGCGTCTTGTGTTTTCTTTTGTTCTGGAAAGGTGTCTTACCCTTCTAAGCATGTGGATAGATCTGCTTGTTCAGACCGTGGTGTGGTTGGTTTCCTGAACAACTCTCAAGGATCCTGTCACCTCAGGAGGCAGGTATGAACACCTAGACATCTGTTCAATTTTGGATCAAATTTTATATGTAGGTTTGCCTGGCTTGTGACATTTATCCTCAAGATAGAAGAGGAGGGGTTTAAGTTTAAATTTCTAAGAAGCCTTGCTTGTCCTTGGGGACTGCCTGGAACTGCTCTGCCACTAAGGGATGTTTTAGTTATGAAATTATAAAATAAGTACATGCCTCTTTTCTTGAAGAAAATATGGGCTAATGTGGAATCGCTTGGATGCAGATGTTAATGATATGTCTCCCATTTTGGAATATAAAAAGATACATAGTTTAAAGTGCAGTGCTTCTCGACAGGACTTATTACTTCTCTCAGGACGACTATGTCTGGTTCTTAATGTGGACTTGATCTCTCCTCTTGTGAAAGTTACTGCTTCTGTCCTTCAAAGAACCCTGAAGGAGTGTCTGTCCTTGTTCAGCTGGCTGCTCATGGTTACTTAGAATGAAGATTTGGACCTGCAGGAAGAAGAAATACAGGCCTGATTGCCCAGGCAGCTCTGGCTGGTGCAGACTATAGAGACCAATGGATTAGGTTTCTTCTGCCTGGTCTGGGCCTAGGCTTTTGAAGTCTGGGTTTTGTATGAACAGACACTATCTTGGAAAGTACTGGAGATGGATTATTGTGTGACTGCCTCTTAGAAGCCCTGGGGCAGCCAGCTCCCTACTTAAGAGGTATAGACTTGACCTCAAGGAAACAGTGTCTACTGCCATTTATTCAGAAAGACCTCCATCCTAGGCAAGAACTAAGAGCTTGGAGGAATTCCAGTTTCCTAATGTTGTTATGATAAATGTTCTGACCAAAAGCACGGTCAGATTGGGAGGGTACTGTTTCCTCTCACGTTTGTAGTCTAAGTCCATCACTGAGGGAAGTTAACACAGGAACTAAAGGCAGGAGCCTGGAGGCAGGAACTACTGCTTTCTGGATCACTCTCTGGTTCCTTCCTTCTCTTCTTAGCTTTCTTATGTTCCAAGGACCACCTGCCTAGGGATGGTGGTCCCCACAGTAGGGCCCTCCAACATCAATAAATAACACAATTCCCATATAAGCACACCTATAATCTGATCTGGTCAATCCCTCATTGGGGGCTTTTCTTTAAAATAACTCTAGACTGTGTCCAGTTGACAAAGTTAAGTAGGACAGAAGGTCCTAGGTTTTAGAGGTAGGATCCTGGGTACCACTTTGGACTGGAGTACAAGATGAGGAAGATTCTTAAGTTCTCTTCCTGCTAAAGGGCAAGCTCTGTCCAGGGAGATGCAGTAAAAACCCAGTTTGGGCTCTGAGTCTTCAAGTGTAATGGTTACTTGAACTATGGAATGATTTTTTTTTTTTGCTTTATAGTATCTTTTTGACAACATTGGACTGATAGTTGCAGACTCCTATTAACAATTATAACCCTAAATAAAAAATAAGGCAGTCAAGCCAAAAGCTGGGCATGATGGCACATGCTTCAATGGCAGCGTTTGGCTGATACATCTCAGTAGGAGGCACAGAGGTCTGAGTGCTCACAGGGGTGGAACGGACAGAAGGCTGCGGAGGACATATTTTCCAGCCTGATGACCTTTGTGCTATCTGTGTGCCCAGAGATTTTCTAGCATTGAAAATCAACGAGCCTCTTCTATGATATAGCACTACCTTTTAGAAAATGCATTAGAATGATCTAAAGGTATGAGTGAACAGAGAAAACCTCCATGTCAAAGTAGCCTCCATCCCAAACATTGGATATAGACAAGGAGCCAAAGACTTTCGTACATCGAGGGCAAGCACCGTAATTGCAATTTTAAGTCCAGCCCAGTTCCTGGATAAAGTAACACAGCTCCCCACACTAACAACCTAACACTAGGAAGCACATGCACATTTAAAGCATAATTGTTTGGTTTGGGAAAGAGCTTCCTAGGAGAGAGGGACTTGTAACCATGGAGCCTTGAGGTGGGAAAGCAATTACAAAGGAAAGAACATCCTGTTGGATGACAGGGTCCCAGAGGGAGACAGAGACTTCTCTTCAACTTCCAGAGGACGATTGGTGTGACTGTGGTTCAGAGGTAAGGGTGTCTGTCACCAAGGCTGCCACCCTAGTTCAGTTCCCCAGGACCCATAGTGATGGAAGAAGAAAAACAACTCCTTAAGGTTGACCTCTGACCTCTACACATGCACTGTAGCACATATGTACACATGGGTGTGCACATGTGCGTGCACGCACATACACAGACACATACACACACTAAATGTAACAACAAATAAATATAAAACCTGGAGAAGAGCTTTGTGAAGAGAGGTAGATGAAAAAAAAAAACAGGAGAAGAGACACTACAGGACAGTGTGGTGAGGGCAGGGAAGAGGAGAGATAAAAAAGAGGGGGAATGTTCTATGATCTATTAACTTATAATAATAAGTTACTCAAATCTGCACTACTTTGTACAAAATGTACCAATTTCAACCCCAAAATGAAACATGTAGAAAGGTAGAGGAGAAAAATCACACATTCCTATGGCATGGGGCAAACAAATAACAGGTCCAGGCCCAGCTACATTGTGGAGACGGGGCTTTTCTAGCAGAAAATTAAAAACCACTTTATAAAACTGTTTATTTTTTTTAAGAAGAGTTGAGAGTACAGGAATCAATTCTACTTCACTTTCATTAAGTTTCACAATATATTTCTTTGTATATAACTAGCTTGACTGCTGCCTTCCTAATCCTTCAGGATAAAGAATGTCTGGTAGAGAATTATGCCCTTGCTTATCTAAAAAAATATTCTACTCCATTTTTAAAAGTCATATTGCTAAGGCTCTATATACCTGGACCTGTTATTTGCTCCATGCCATAGGAATGTGTCATTTTCTCCACTGTCTTTCTACATTGTTTCATTTTGGGGTTTACAATGATACTATTTATACAAAATAGTACAGGTGCTGCCCAGTGTGACTAGTTCATGCTAAAGTCAAAGGCACAGGAAAGGCCAGAAGAATGCAATGGGGGAAGTCAGGAAAGCAATCTTGAAAGCCTATGTTGTGTAGGAAGTAGTACATAATTGTTGATCAATTAAACAAAACACTGTACCTGGTTTTTGTCATATAATGTTCAGTGGTACACTGAAACCCTGACAAGAAAGTCCTCACCAGATGTATCCTCTGGAGTCAAGATCTTCCCTGGAGTTACCCATGATAGTTCTGTGAGTCATTCAACAAAGTCATACCATAGCAGGATTCCTCAGAAAAGTCAGAGTTCCTGGTCAGATCCCACTTAACACACTCCAGTGAGTCATATGACGTTCAAACCAAGGATACTTTGTTAGGACACCCACTTCAGGACAGTGCCATAGAAGCTCCCGGTGCTGTGGATTTTCGTTCGATCCTCACCTGATTGATTGTCAAGTGTCAGGCTTTCTTATCTGTCAAAATATTAAAGGGTTAGCTGTGAGTCACATGGCCATTCAAAACAGAAACAAAGATAAAACACACAGATTTTGACCAGTTACCCTGAAACAGTTTCCACACTTTCCCTAGGTCACGGTTTGGAGGTGGCAGGTTCTTCAGAGGAAATGGCATCTTTCGTAGGAACAAGAATAGAACTGATCTGAAAGAAGCTACCACCAATGTCTACCAGCTGCTGCAGCTTCTGTGTGTAAAGCATGCTGTGTTCTTTATGCCTGAAGGCACCTGGTGTTACCAAGACCAGGGCATGCATGACTGTTGATACACATGCGCTAACTCCGCAGGACTTTCTCCCTTGGTTAGCAGCCAAGATTGAGGTGTCTCCATTGCTCACCATGCCCGTGTTCATCTGCTATGTTTCTTTATGCTCTTCATATCAAAGGAGGTTGAGGCTGGAAAGATGGATGACCTTAGCAGTTCTCTGTTCTCTTCTAATAGACTTTAGGATGCCTTTCCAAGCTCGAAGGCAGCTGGTATCTAGCTGAACTCTTGAGTTTGGAACCAGTTACATCAGCAATACTCCTGGGCTTGGATATACAAGAACGAACTCTTCCTAATTGATGGAAGTCTGTGCAATGATTCGATTTGCAGCCACCTCGGACAGATCAAGATTGTTCAGGAGACAGAATTCATCCCTCCCTGACAGCCTCCTCCTCACTACCTCCCTTCCCTGCCTTCTCTCCTGGTCTGCCTCCTCCTCAATGACGCTCTTCTTGGTGTCCCTTCTCCCCTGCCTTTTTGGTCTGCCTCCTCCTCGCCATGTCTGCCCTCCCTGCCCCCCATACCTCTCTGCCTCAGTCTCCCAAGTAGTTGGGGTTATAGACCTACACCATGAACTCTCTTGAAATGTTGAAATATGGTAGAATTCAGAAGCTTCAGTCTTTAACTGTAGCTGAGCAGAGACTTGTGCTTTTAAAAAAGTGGTGTGAGTTGTTTATGTGTTCAGGAATGTAACTTCCCCTACAAATTCTTATCTGCAATCGGCCATCCGTGAACAGCAAAGTACTTGGCTTTTGCAGTCCAAGTGGTAATTACCTCCACCCAAGGAAACCTGAAGCCTGTTCTTGGAGGTATGAATTCTAACTTGCATTAGTGCCATGTCCACAGAGGGATTATGTAGTGTGGTTTCTGCAGATCAAATTCAAGAGAGTTATCCAGCTTATAAACTTGTACCAAGATGTTATATATAATTGTGGGCCCTAAATAGAAAGTTTCGCTTGGCAAGAAATATTTCTAAAATATTACACTCCAAGATTATTACAAACATGAGGATAAGAAAACAAATTCAGGGACTGGAGAGATAGTTCAGTGGTTAAGAGCACTGGCTATATTTCCTGAGGATCCAGGTTCAATTCCCAGCACCACAAGGTAGCTCACAGCCATCTATAACTCTTGCCCTGGGGGATCTGATGCCCTCTATTGATCTTCATGGACACTGCACTCATATAGAATACAGACATACATGCAAAATTCCCATATATATAAAATTAAAATGTTAAAAAAAGAAAGAAAGAAAGGAAGGAAAGGAAGGAGGGAGGAAGGGAAGAAAGAGGAAGGGAGAAAGGGGAAGGGAGGAAGGAAGAAAGGATGGATGGAAGGAAGGAAGGAAGAAAGGAAGGAAGGAAAGAAGGAAGGAAAGATGTCAAATAATTTGGAAAAATAAACCAGATAAAGTAAACTAAAGAGGGCTGGAGAGATGGCTCAGTGGTTAAGAGCACTGACTGCACTTCCAGAGGTCCTGAGTTCAAATCCCAGCAACCACATGGTGGTTCACAACCATCTGTAATGAGATCTGATGCCCTCTTCTGGTGTGTCTGAAGACAGCTACAGTGTATTCATATATAATAAATAAATAAATCTTTAAAAAAAAAAAAAAAAAAAAAAAGTAAACTAAAGAAGAGACTGGGCTAATGTGAGTACAGCCAACCCTCCACATCCATTGGCCCTCTCACAGTGTGTTCAATTAACCTTTGAGACAAAAATTTTATCTGTGCCATATGTTTGCGTGTGAAGACATTGTGTACTCTAAATAATACAGTAGGTTGGCTGTGTTAGTTTCCTGTTGCTGTGATAGAGCACCATGACTAAAAGCAACTGACAGAAGAATGTGTAGTTCAGTCAGGGGTTAAGTCAGAGGGCTAAGAGGTCATCTGAGGAGGGAGGAATAGCAGTGTACCACAGGCAGCAGCAGAGCGCCAAGAGGAGAGATCCTCAGTGCCAAGCATGTCGCCAGCCCCCAGTGACTTACTTCCTCTAAGAGGGCTGTACTTCTCAACCTCCCCAGTCAGTGCCATCCACCAGAGATAAGTGTTCAAATGTTTTAGCCATAGGGACATTCTCATTCAAACCACTACAGCATTTAATTTACTTAGTTGGTCCTTAGTGGGACCACTGAACATTAGTTTCTAAAAGAGGAATTGTTAACAAGGTGGTATGGGGAGTAAGCACAGTGAAATAATAAAATAGAAATGTCCAATTGTCTCAGTAGAAGGCCCCCCCAAAAAAATGCAGCCAAGGGAAGGAGATGGAACTGGGAAAGCGACTTTCAAGATCTCCAACTTTATTCCAAAAATAGAAACAGCAACCTGAGTTCTGAATGATTTAATCCAGAGAAAGACAATCGTGTCCTTTAAAGAGCCAGATGGAACATATTTTAGGAGGAATGAGTTAAAAGAAAGAAAATGAATGCTTCTATTCAAAGAGCCTTGTGGGATTTGGTTTGAATTAGAGCTGTCAATATAGGCACGTATCTTCCAAATAGACCGACAGACTTAGGCTTGTACCTATGCAAGGGTTTGCACACAAATGTGTTCCCAAGTTCTCATCTTTGAGTGTCTCTATGATAACAGTATCCAGTGTCCAGGTCTTGATTTCAAAACTCTCCAATAAAGAGAATCAAGATTCCTTGGAGAAGCATTTGGTTCACTCTGGAACTTGGGACATGAGAAGCCTGGAGCACCTTACAGGACTTAGGAATTACTTAAAAAAAAGAAAAGAACCAGGGGTCAGGTAAAAAATGGCACAGAAACCTAACCTGTGAAAATTCTAAGTTATTAAAGTTGAAACAGTGCAAGACACGAAGTGGGGGAGCATTGGTGGTCGGATACAGCCAAAATAAGCTTTAAAACCTGTCAGTCTGTTCTGATGAAAATAAACAAATACATCGTAGCATGACAGAGGAGGAGCAGTTGACTACCGCAGGAGGACTCTAAGAAATAGTCAGAGTAAAGAGGATGCAGAATGGCTGGGTAATAGTAATCACCGTAACTAAGATCTGTTGAGTCTGAGGCTGGTTCAGCAGTCAAGATCATGTACCATGGAAGAGGTCCTGGGTTTGGTTCCCAGAACCATATTGGGTGCTTCCCAACTGCCTGCAACTCCAGCTGCAGGGAGATTCAATTCCTTGCCTGGTTTCCATGAGCATTTGCCCTCCAGTGCATGTACCCACACTCAGGCACTCATAACTGTGTATGCTTGGAAATAATAAACCTTTTTTAAAAAAGTGATTGTGATGAATTCTAAGAACAGTGGGTCCAGGTTCAAGAAGAAACAAGGACGTCATTCTACCAGTATATTTTCAACTTTCAAAATGGAAAAATGTTATTTTCCAATGGGTGAGATCTCACCATGCCTCATGAATCACGATTAACTTTATCAGAACATCAGGCTATGTCCTTTTTCCAGCCTGCTGACCTGGGAAGGGCATGCCGCTTCTGGGATATTCATGAGAAAAATAACCACGTCAGTGTACTCAGGGAGACCTAAGGTAGAAGTTTGACAGACATTCTACAAAACATCTGGCACCGTCTTCCAAAATGTATGAACTATCACGAATATGCTTCACTCTTAAAGTTTTGTACTACATTTAATTGGTGGGGGAGGGGAAATCACTATGGTGTGCCTATGTTGGTCAGAGGACAACCTCCAGGACTTGGTTCTCTACTGCCACCATGTGCGACCTGGGTATCAAACTCAGGTCATCAGGCGAGCACCTTTTGACCCACTGACTCATCTTATGGGTGATTTTCCAAAATAAACGATCATGAAAATGATCATGACAAATGGCTGTCAGAGTGAAGGAGGGGAAGGAAACTTGACAAACGCAGCATAAATCGGACTGGATGTGGGGATAGAAAAGGGACATTCGTGGAAAAGTGTATGAAATCAGAATTAAGTTTGTAGTTTGGTTGATAGCTGCTGACACATCAGTATTATACTTATGATTTGAACATTGCTGTTTGAACAGGTGTTACTGCTGTCTGAAACTGTATGAGGGATGGGTGAGCACCCTGTACACTAACTCTACAACTTCTCTGTAATTCCAAAATTGTTTGGATGGTGACTGTCCCTAAGGCACATTCGTTAAAAGTTTGGTCCCCAAGATGGTTTGACTGGTAATTCTTGAAGCCTTGGTGAGAGTTGGAGTCTTGGATTATTATTGTCATGACAAGAAATCTAACTTTAAAAGAATATTTTGGGTCTGGGAAATGGTTGAGGGTCAAAGCGTTTGTCATGAAAGTGTGAAAGCCAGAGTTGAAAACCTCAGACCCCCATGTCAATGCTGGGTGGGTGTTGGTGGCACATCTGTAAATTTTTGGGCTCAAAGAGCAGCTACTAGGAATGGCTAGAGCAGGCTGGCCACCAAACTAGCCATCTCAGTGAGCTCTGGGTTTGATAGAGAGACCTTGTCTCAATGAGTAAGTTGGAAGAGCAATAGAATAGTGGAGACATCAGCATTGGTCCTCAGATGTATGCCCACACATAAATGCACTTACATGCATGTATTAAAAAAGGAAGGATTAAAAACAAAATTATTTACTTGGGCTCATGGTTTCAGTCCAAGGGGTTGGTTGGTGTCTTAGGATTTTACTGTGGTGAACAGACATCTTGACCAAGGCAACTCTTATAAAAGCAACATTTAATTGGGGCTGGCTCACAGGGTCAGAGGTTCAGTCCATATCACCAAGGTGGAAGCATGACAGCGTCCAGGCAGGCATGGTGTAGGCTGAGCTGAGAGTTCTACATCTTTATCTGAAGGCTGCTAGCAGAATACTGGCTTCCAGGAAGCTAGGATGAGGGTCTCAAAGCCCACACCCACAGTGATACACCTACTCCAACAGGACCACACCTACTCCAACAGAGCCACACTTTCTAATAGTGCCACTCCCTGAGCTGATCGTATACAAACCATCACAGCTGGCCCCATTGACTTGGGAGTATGGATGAGGCTGGGCATCACAGAGGCAAGATGGCACAATAGGGGAAGCTGCTTATCTCACAATGGCCAGGAAACAGAGAGAAAGACAAAGAGAGAAGAGAGCAGGGGAAAGCTATCCCTTTAAAACCATGTCTCACCTCCTTGCTAACTAGGTCCTGCTTCCTCATCCCCCACTTCCTGATAAGGTCATCTATTAGTGAATTGTTGGATTGTAGTGTGCACATGGGTCCTGTTGGGTTGAATTGTGGGTCCCATGTCTGTCACCCCAAGTGGCTAGGGCCGTGGCTCAGAGAGGCAGAGCCCAGGAAGTTGACTGTGTTCGCTCCACGCTGAGTGGACATCAGGCTGTGTGAAGCCGCAGGACTCCGCTCATGGGTGAGAGAACACAGTCTAAGGTCCCATAGGGGCTAGAGCTCTTGGGTTGGAGGTTCCTGGGCCAAAAGGTGGCTGGGAACTGGTTGGTTTTCAGGCTCTTGGGCTCTCTGGGGCCACTGGGATGCCTGCTGCATCTGGAGGGAATGAGAGTTCTTGGTCACGGCTGGCTAGGCATGCTTGCTTGGGTTGCTGGGACTCTGTGGCTGAGAGGTTGTCAGCTGGAGATTAGACCTTGGGTAGGTAGTTGAAAACCTTCTCCACTGTTCCCCACAGTGAGTCCCAAAGAAGAGAAATAGGCTATGGTCTTATTGTCAATGGCGGAAAATGGATGAAACTACACCCCCGGCATTTTCAGGGCAGGCCTGAGGCTAAATACCTTTTGCAAGGAGGAGGGTCTGGAAAGGAATGTTTAACTGGCTATGCCCTCTGATCTTTAGGTACCTCATGAATATGGAGATCTGCCTTGAGGCTCCGTAGCCTGTAGTCACATCCTCTACCAGTGGAGAAGTTGCTACTTGATTGAAAGGCACGGATTTATGGAGGGCTGCAGCATGGTGAAATGCCTGACTTCCCTTGCAGGGAACTCTGCAGAGAACCCAGCAGGGTCTCTGCTGATTTCTAGCCAGTGCTCGACCAGAAACCAGGCTGTCCTTTCAGGGCCCTACAGTGGATCAAGACACAAGTGGAGGTAGGACCCTTATGATCCAATCACCTCCCCAAAGCTCCAACTCAATCGCTTGCTCTCTCTCTCTCTCTCTCTCTCTCTCTCTCTCTCTCTCTCTCTCTCTCTCCCTCTCTCTCTCTTGAATTTAGAGACAGGGTTTTTCTATGTAGACCTGGCTGCCGTAGAATTCACTCTATAGACTAGGCTGGCTGGAAATCAGAGATTAAAGGCATGCACCACTGCCACCCAGCTTAGCAGCAAGCATTTAATATTTGAGTTTTGTAATCAAATCCTAAGAGGCCTTGTAGGTCTGTAGATCATGGGAGGAACATCCTTTAAGGAAACTGAGAGAGCTCAGTTTCTTCTTGTTACTTCTTTGATGACCTGAGGTGTCACACCCTCTCTGCCAACGCTATCTGTATCCCCACCTGCCAAAAGCACTAGATTTTCCTGATCATCAGCTAGAATCTCCTAACCATTAGCCCAAATGATCCTTTTCTTTTTATAAGCTAATAATGGCAGATATTTTGTAATAGTGATAGGAAGCTGGTTAACACAGTCATTTGAATGTTAGAATGCGTTTTAAAAAATCTTTATCAAATGGAAAAAAATAACAGCTCTATGCAAAGACTTCACGTCATCTACCAAATAGCTTACAGAAATTATGTCATTTCCACGCATACTGGTGGTGCCATATGTATCAACTCGAGTTGCTATCCATACACGGATATGATCCCATGAGTCTATATGTGGATATTATCCTATTGTCTAAGCTTTTCATTCTGTTCCATCTATATTCTGTTTTCTACCAATAAGTCTCATAAAAGTTGGTTTAATTTCATTATTTTAAAGCATGGCACTTTCTTTTCAGTACTGTGAGTCAAACATAGACCCTCATAAATGCTAGGCAAGCCTTCAATCAAGAAGATATATCTTCAGCCTTATTTAAAAAAAAAAAGTGTAGCCCAGACTGGCTTCAAACTCATAATATTACCAAGGAGGCTGGCTTTCAGATATATATATATATATATATCCACTTTCCTACTGATAACTCCAAGTTACTACCTACTAATTTCTATGTTTCCTCTTGACCCAACTGAGCAGCCTTCTGGGCCACGTTCTCTTGGCCCTTTCCACATGGCAGCTCTTCTTGCTTCTCTCTTGTGTGTTCTTTTCTATCCCACGGCCACTTTTGTTTTTCCCCTTCTGCCTCGTGTCCTCAAGCCTGGGAAACTTAAACCCTGCCTATGTCTTTTCTCCCCACCTTTTGGCTGCTGGCATCTTTATTTACCAGTCAGAATTAACTGGTGATAAAGTCTCTCAGTGTCTAACATGTGGACTCTCTTGTCTTTGTGGCAAACAATTCTGGGGGATGCAAATTATCATTAAAATAAAACATCAGGCCAACGTACTACACTGATCTACTTGCCTTCGCCTCCCAAATGCTGGAATTGCAGGCATGCACCATCACACCTGCCTCTGGATATCTTATCTTCTAAGGCAAAGAACTTTTTATAAAAAGAGATGTATTTTTATTTTTTAAATTCATGTGTGTCTGCAACGGTGTCAGTACTGGCAGTTGGGGGTGGATGACAAGAGGATTCTGGGAGTTTGCCAGCCATCCAGTAGAGCTGAAACAGCAAACTTTATGTTCAGTGAGAAACTGTGTCTCAAAAGAAAGTGAGGTATGGAAAGTGATAGAGGGAGACAGCTAATGGGAACTCGTGTCCTGCAAACACCATGCACAAGTGCAGGCACCTGAATACACACACACACACACACACACACACACACACACAGACACACCCACAGAGAGAGACACACAGAGAGACTGACACACATGAATAGATATACATGTACACACAGACAAGACACATGTCCACACACACATGAAGAAAGACATACTCACAGTGAGAGACAGAGACAGAGATGGATAGACACACACATGCACACACACACACACACAGATAGGGACACACACACACAAGTACACACAGACACACTCTCACACACACAAAGACAGAGGTAGACAGACACACATGACCACACACAGAGATAGGGAGACACACACATGCACACACACACACACACACACATACACATACTCACAGAGAGAAAGAGAGAGAGACAGAGATGGAAACACATGCACACACACACAGATAGAGACACACACACACATGCACACACAGACACAGACAGAGACAGATAGACAGAGACAGACAGACAGAGAAAGAGATAGAGAGAAATCCCTAATAGTGACATCATTAGAGCATCAATTGCTACCTTGCCATAAAAAAGTGGACAAAATTTACGTCATCGTTCATTACTAACAAGAGAGAGTTTGGTGGCACGAGCCACCATCAGAGCCCCCAAAGGTAAAAAAGAAACCCAACCAATACAAACGAATGAGGCAAATCTCAACTTTATTCTGTTATCACTACCCACGAGGACACTATTGCCATTTTTTTTTTCCGATGGCACTTCATTGTATGGGACAGTCTGGTGCATTCTGGGATGTTCACTGTTCTTTGCCTCTTGCAAAGAACTCCCATAGGAAGCCATAGTCTTTACAGCAATCTCTAAGGTTTCCAGATCTCACCTAGTCTAGATGATGAGACTGCAAGAGGAAACGGCCTTTCATAAAACTGTTTCTGTGGAGGCGTGGAAGAGTCGCTTGAGGTAATTATGCATATAAGGGGATGAGAGTGGGGAGATGCAGGTCAAAACGGGTGTTCTGAGCACTGAAGAATCTTCAGAGCCATAAACTCACTACAAATGGCAGAGGCTAAAGCTTGGGATTTGTACTATTCCCTTTCAGAGACATTACCACAAAAATAATCTAAAGCTGTGTGTGATGTGTGTGTGTGTGTGATACAACCTCTGAGAATCACTGTGTAAGAAAGGGGAAAGGTGACAGGCCATACAGAGCAGCATCAAGTCTGAGCATCATTGCAGGGTGCTACAGCAGAAGCAGAAAATGTAAGGGGGAGCAGGTGTTCAGAGGAAAAAGCTAATGGAGTTATCTAAATCTGAAAGTCAATTAGTGAGCTAGAAAGTTAGATTAAAGAGCTCGGGAAGAACCCAAGGGAAGTAGAGTTGAGAGACTATGAATGGTCAGCCATAAGGTATGGAACGGAGGAATAAAAACATCAGCATTTACCTAATCTATACTTTAAAAGTATTTATTTATTTAAATTTTATGTGTATGGCTGCTTGCCTGCAATGTGTATGTACCCTGTGAGTGCAGTACCTGTGGAGGCCAGAAGAGGGCATTGGACCTCCTGAAACTGAACCAGATTACTGACTTACTGACTATAGTGAATCACCGTGAAAATGCTGGGAATTGAACCCAAGTCCTCTACAAGAGCTTTTAATAGTTGAACCATCTCTCCAGCCCTCAGTATCTATAGCAAATAGAAATCCCAGCAAAGTAAGAGGGAGAAAAAAAACTCTCAAAGAAACAAAGAGCAATTCATTATCTTCAAGTACACACGAAGACGAAAAGTCGCCCAAATACCATACAGAGTCACAAAGGAAATCTAGTCCCAACTTGCAAATTCCTCATCTAAATGTAAATAAGAATGAAAATGTAAAGTATTTGGCAGTGAATAATGATGAAAGCACGTTATACTGAGCCTTGAACATGCCACTAGATCATGTCGCTAAGGAAATACGTATATGTAAATGCAGTTACTAAGTAGCAATGTAACTAAATGATTCTGACTCTCGCAGCACATGCACTAAAACGGGCAGGAGATGGAAGATTTGCATGGCCTCAGTGCCAGGAAGAAGATCAAATAAACTAGTTACTCAAGTCAAGGGCAGCATGAGGCACAGTGAGCCTGAGGAAAAAGGAAAGGAGGTCATGAAACTATCAAGATATCAATACCAGTTACAACAGTAAGAAACAGGGAGACTGGTCAACACAACACAAGCTGATTCTTAGAGAAAAGTAGGGGGGAGGAAGTGAGCAATTTTCAAGTAAAGTTGAGAATTAAATAATTATGCAATTAATTTGGGGGTGTAAAAAAGTGCCTATCACACATAATGTAGGAAGTTTTTTTGTTTGTTTGTTTGTTTTTTAAATCATGAGGGAAAATTGGAATAACTTTATGTCAGCAATTTGCATAGTTTGACGGTTTGGATATAGCTTTTGAGGCATAGCCTTACAAAATTGATTGGAGGAGAAATAAAAAGGACCAAATTAAAACAACAGCAACAACAGTAGTTATTCTGTGCCTGGGGAGCTCCCTCCAGAGTGCAGCCATGAAGGGAGCATGAGGAACTCCTACAGTATAGAAGCCTGGGCTCCACTACAGCCAGGTGATCAACCCTGATTGGGCAGGGAGGGCAGAAAGATGGGGACTGAAGGGGAACTGGAGGGGGAGGGGCCTCTCTCCCTGGGGGACTGACTGAGCATGGGGAGGGAAGGAGCCTCTCTTCCTGGAACTATTAAGTCTCCTTTCAGAATATGTCAAGGCTTTAAAATTTTTATAACTTATTTTTAATTTTTACTTTATTTACACATACGTTATTATGTTTCTTTCTATTTTCCCTTCAGATCCCCTGCATATGTATTACAGATCCCAGTTAAGTGTTTTTATGGAATTCCTGAGTGTGTAAATGAATGGGTCTCTGTCTATATCTGTTTCTTAGGCCTTCTCTTGGTCTCTTTCCTTCTGTTTGCTTGCTTTGTCCTGTTACAGTGTGCTAGTTTTTATTATACCATCTTATTATATTGTATTATATTACGTTATATTATACTATTATCCCTTAGAATTTTTTTAGGACTATAGCGGAAAGCGTCCTTGCCCTCTTGTGCAGCTCTTATTACTTCCTGTGGCCATAACCATATCCAAGGAGCCGCCCTATGATCTCACTGAGCAAAAGAGAAATGTGTGTGTGTGTGTGTGTGTGTGTGTGTGTGCGTGTTGGGGTCATCCTTAAAGTTCTTCAAGGAGTGGTGACTTCAGCAGCCACTGAAATCATACATATGGCTCTTGTTAAGACGTTTAAGCAGTTGT